TTTTTTTGTCGAGGAGACCAAGAATATCGGCCACTACTACTCGCGCCAAATCATCACCGCACCGTATCCATCTGCTGAAGGAGATAGGGCGGATGCCCCGGGTCAATGACTGCAACATCCCCAATGCTGCTGACTTTGCTTTTTCTGCCGACCCGTACTCCTCGATCTCCTGGTCGGTCAAGACGAAGGTAAGGCTGGTCTTGCCTTTTGATTTGGAGATGCTGAGCTTGTGCAGGAGGTTGGACGCGTCCTTGTCTTTCTGTGTTGCAGATTTCGCCGACCGAACTCGCTCAGCTCCATAGGGCGTCCCCGCTAAATAATCGCGAAAGGCTTTCGTTTGGGCGTTCATCTTCGGACCTGCAGTGGCGGAATCCCTCAGGAGGGAATGACGGTCAGGGCCGGTGGGGACAAAAACTCTCTTTGGTAGATCCAACATCATCCCCGCCTGCAGTGACATTTGCTGTTTTCCCACTACTTTGCAAACCCCGTAGCACTTCTTCTCCCACTTGGTCGGGTCGATGTCATTCTCCAAGAGGTAGGCGGTCGCACCCTCCTCCAGCGCAGTGCCGGCTTCGTGTTCTTCGCAGTGGCTGGAGATCGTTACCACATGTGTGCCGGGGCGGTTAAAGATCTCGTCTTTTTCTTCTGAAACTACTGCGCCGACCGCTTTGTGCGTGAGAATCATGTCCGGCCCGCGGTCGGAGCTCGTGTTGATGACCAACAACGCTGGCAGGGTGCTTGCGGCCCCAACTACCGCCTTGACGTCGCGCATCACGACGTCCGCGTTCTTCTGCGACGGAATGCGCTGGTCGCACAGAAGATGTTCAAAACCACTCTCAACAGCTGCTGCTTCGTTCATCCGAAGGGCCGTTTTGCTTGGTTGTAGGATAGTTGAAGTCGGAGTTGTGACCTGGTGACTACTCTCGCCGGCGTTCCACGTCAGGGCCATATCCGTCACCATCCACTTCGCCGCCCCGTCGGTTATCGTCTGGCGCCCACCACCAAAAACGTCCAGAGACAGCTTCGTTCCGCACGGGGTGGCGTCGCTCATGTGCGAGAGCAGTGCGGATCTTGTTCCCGGGTCCTCCAATATTTTTCCGGCCAGAAGCTCGCCAGCCTCCTTCGCTAGCAGTGCTGCCTTATCAAAATGCACGTCTTTTCGCGGTTCTCCATTCATGAACGGCTCCAACGTCCGGCCGAGAATTTCATCGCGAAGAACATCGGCTTTTTCCGTCCCATCACCGAGCACAAGACCGGACGCTAAAAGGCGGTCCGCGTTGGTACCGCTGCCTTCCGTGGAAGCGCCCGCTCCTGCAGAGCCTGGAGCTCGGTCAACCCAACCCGTCAAAACGTTTCGCTCCTCTCCGTAGCCACTCGTCGCCGAATCTGCTGTGGCCAAGAGGAATGGCGCTGCGCCTCCCGCCGTGGTGGGTTCTGCCCGGCTTCGTGATATGGAATGCAAAACGACTTCACGTCGGAGCAGAGGGAATTTTCGACATGCCCAGCAGTATCGCTATTTTCCTACTTTCATCATAAATTCCTATGAGAAACCACAAACAATGACGCGCGGTCCTTGCAACACCAGGCTCGGGAGCTCGCGATGAAGATTCAAAACTCCTCATCACGACGCGAGACCGAGGCCGACCTCGTCGGCTGCATAATACAGACTTTTACCAAGCCGGCGGGCGTGGGCGACAACACGCCTCCCCCTCATTACTGTAGTTCAAACCGAGAGTGAAAATAGCCCAGGACATGTCGACGTCATGCCCCCCCTGCTCCGAGCGAAAAAACACACATACACATATCCCGCTTGCTATGCTCCGCTGCGAGGCTCCGATCTTTGTGCTCCGCGAAGTTCTGGCCCTCACGAGAATCCGTAATCTTCGCATCATGCAGGTCATCAAACGCGCAGTAGTTTCCACTCGCTTCCGCAAGGTAGGCGTCTAGTAAATCCATAATGCAGGCGGAGGTCGGTGGCCGAGCCGCTTCTGCTTGTAGTTGCTGCAGAAGTCCGGGGGAGCAGTTGCTGGCTGCTCGGTAAGTGGATGTTGTTGCGGGTGTGGTGTTGTACTGTAGGCACTTCTTGCTTGCTTCGTCTGCTAGCTCCAGACAAAGGTCGGCGTCAGAAGCTACGGCATGAGCAGTTGTTGTATGCTGCCCCAACCCAAACCGGTCCCCCAAAAAAAAATTTCATCTACTCGCCAATCTCCTGCGACTACTTGGCGATCGGGAATGCGAAGCCTGAGTCTGTCCTTTTTTTTCGATTTGTCTTGCAGGTTTGTAAAGTAAAGAGGTCAACATCATTCGCTTGCTCTGTGCAATGCGACGCCTGATTTTTTTTTGATTATCATTATATTTGGTTAGAGATCAAGTTCAATTTTGCTGATCATATAGCGCACTCTGTGCTGCGAGGGACGATCAAATTTGCACTAGCATTATCGTCGTCGAGTCTGCGAGGCTCGTCATCACGTTTTGATGTAGCATTTCGAATCACTTTGTCGAGACCGATATCGAATGGAATTTCTCGCATTACTACGAAGTGGCAGATTTTTTCGCTCAAAAACTCTGAGGACGAGGAGGTGCGAGCGTGTGTCTTCGGAGATGAATCAACCACAGACTAGTCGCTGTCTCTCTAAGATCCGAAGAAAAACCGCGACTCGCTGAACTACGGGCCAGCCCCTACAAGATTTTTGCTGATCCACACTACAAATCGCGCTGGAAGATACGGGGCTTCTCATCCGAAGATCAAGCCCCTCATTACCCTATGCCCCACAAAAATACCTAGCTTCGGAGCTCGACGCGCGCATGGGAAGAAAAGCATGAGAGAGAGAATCGACTGCCTACAACACTGGATTCCGGGCCTACCGCCGGTAAAAGACGAAAAGATAGGATCTGAGAGCGCGCGCCTGATCTGGAAAGGACTGCCTAAAACGACGTCACATAGGCCCTAGCTAGTATGGAAGAGTAGCATTCCACTCGGGAGAGCCATTTACCAAGACTTCGGCTCGATGACGCGCAACGAAAAGAAAAAATTGCTCGCGTCAAACTAAATTAAGCTCTTGCCTCCTCATCCGAAAAAAATGAAAATACTGAACTTTTGAATTTGGTTTGAATTGCTTTAGAATTCTATTTAGCGCCGGGTGCTTCTGCGTTAACTTATGGCTAATAATCTCATGAAATCGAAAGAATCTTCACCCAAAATCTTTCATCGATTTGAAGATTTGAATAAGAATATTTCAATCTGAGGATTCTCTCTCTTTCTTTTCCATGTCTGCAGTTGATCATGGACAACATGAGAATGCTAAAACCTAGGAAATTGAAGATAAAGATTTGGATCGAATGCAGGAATAAGTTCTTCTAAAAAAAAGGTATTTTCCTTAAAAGTTTGAATTGAGAAAAAAAAATTTGAATTGATTCTCTATCTTATTTTCATAATCCAATAAATTTCTATTATTTAATTGAAATATGAAGTCATTCAATGATTGTTGATACATTCATGAAATTATACATTGAAATTCCCATGGATTCTTTTTTCTTATGTTGATGTTCTCATAAAAATTGATTCAGATTCTAATTTTTTGTGAATTATCCTCGAGTCTGTTCTTCGATATTTCGATATTCTCGAAAAAAAAATATATGGGAATATGTCTGTGTGTGTCACATGTGTCATATTTCATGTGTCTTGAATATATCATGGATACATTTATTTGATGGAAAATAAATAAAATCAAATCGAGAAAGAAAAGAACAAGATTCATTTTCAGGGTCTTGAAAATTTGATGATATACCTGAAAGGAAAAAAAGAATTCTTTTTTTTTCAATTAATATCTTGTTGCATGATTTGAATCCATACATGAAGATATAGAGAAAAATTTCATATCAATGGACCTGTATATCGATCTTTCTTATCTTGAAAAATAGAGATTCTCTCGTTGTAATATGTGATCCGAACCGAATTTTCGATAGAAAACATTTCAAGAAAAATTTGTTATTTATTATTTTCTTTCTTTCTTTCTCTCCATGTCCGGGCATGGCATCAACTACAAATTCCGTTGCAATCCCTTTTTATTATTTTCTTCGATGACGATCAAACTCAATTTGATTTTCTATTCGAATTATCTTTCTTTCTTTCTTTCCTTCCATGCCCGGGCATGGTTTCAAATGTTCAAGGCCCTAAAAGTTCCGTTGCAATCCCATTTTTTTCGCTCTAGTGATCTTCCCTGTCAGAACCAACTCAAACTGAAAAGCTTAATAAACAACTACTTATGAGAAATAACAACGAGAAGATCAAAATCTATTTATCTGCTCGTGGTCAACAAGTCGTCTTTCTTCAATTCGATAAATCAAATACAACAACAACAGTTTCTGAGTAAAAAATAGATCCGTCGATCGTAGTTCTTCTTTCAAGATTACTTTTTATCCGACACACCATTTCATTATTTGAGTTTCATCTTTATCTTTTCAAATGATGAAATTTAGGATGTGTGTGGGGGAACAATCTTTTGTGCTTCACAGCTTTCCCCCAGACTCTTCCCTGCGCCGCGCCAGGTTCCGTTTGGTAGTGGCCCGCTAGCGACGGAGGGTGCGGGCCGACGGTAGTAGCGTCGGATTCTTATCTTTGCAAATGAAAATCTCGGACCGGATCTATGACAAATTTATTTGAATCTGATTCAAATCATATGCAACAAGAAAGATGTGAGAGGACCACATATACCTACCAACATGATGGACAAACAAATAGATTGAAAAAAAAAAGGAAGAAATCTTCATCCTCTTCCACTTTCTTTCTTTCTTTCCATGCCCGGGCATGGCCGGCGTCAAAAAATTCCAGGCCCTCCAAGATCCATCCTCTTCCACTTCCTCTCATGATTTGAACGAATCAAATAGGAATCATCATCTGACAATTTATTATGGAATTTCATGACCAGGAGGACAATTTCGGATCAGAAAATCAATCATACCGTGCCGAGATTATCATAAAGAAAGAAAAAAAGGATTAGCTTGATTCGGTGCTGGAGGGATATGGTTGATTTTAGAAGATGTGGAAAAAAAAGAAATGTGTCGGCATCGTGGTCTTCTTGAATAGCGATCAGTCGGGCCGTGAGCTATTCCTCGCCCGTTTGTTTTTCGTCGCTCGTTTGCGATTGGATGCAGTATGTGAAAAGTTGCAAGGCCAGACTTCTTTTCTAATCATTTCCTTTGATGTCTTTTTCGATTTTTTTCCTCCGAGGAAGATAGTAAGTAGGTAAGTACTTTACTTTTCTCAGGCGTTGTTGCCACAGTCATGCTTTCATTTTTTCATGTTGGTGTTCAAAAAAACCGCATGCTCCCCTGCCTCCCGTCCTTGTTTGGCAGTATCATGCTCGTGCTCTTCCCGTCCTTGTTTCCTTGGGAAACGATCATCAGGACGATGAAAAGTACCGGAACAAAAGATCGCATTGTTCGTAGTGGATGTGGAACCGGTTTTGATAAGTCGACGCCCATCTCCTTCTCCGGGGCCGGGAAATCCCGTACCTATTGTTGTTTATTCTGGGTCGCGCAACATCGAAATTGCGTTCGAATTGACGCTACCGCGCTCGTTCCTGTAATTATTTGTTGGTCTTGGTTTGCTAGGCAAGACACGCAACATGGGCACGATTTGCTTGTTCCGCATCCGTTGTGAGCTTTTATTCTTGTTCCGCATCCGTGTTCGTGACGAGTTCTTTTTCTTGAGACCGATCATGATCATCATGAAGAGAAGAGGGTCCTCGGGTCATGTGGTGGAGATTCGCGGGGATGTGCAAGCCCCCTGCGCCGTGCCATCTCCGGGGGAGGTTTTGGAACCTCTCCTCCGCAGCTTCGAATTCCTGCACAGCTTTGGACTTGTGGTTGCCGTGTGCCGCTGCTGGGGCCGCATCTTTATTGTCCAGCTTCTTGCCCACCTCGCAGATGTAGTCGCTTAATCCTGTCGTCTGACGGGTCAATCCAGAGAATGTGCCCGCATGGATGTTTTGCTGTTTGTTTGCTGTGTGGCTCCCGTGCAGAGTGTTCAGCTTTGTTTTCAGCCCCTGGTTCGTTGGATCGCCGAGTGGTGGATCTTCGGTGTACGAAAGTGGACAACCCCTCCCTCCCGCATACGCACTGCATCTGTAGAAACGGGAGCAGCTTAAACTGAAAAAATGCTGCAGCTTTTGTATGACAAAGTCTTCAAACCGCAACTGCGTTTACAGTTACGGCCCCTGGAACTTGTCACGCGAACACTAGAAAATAGCAAAGACTGACTTTGGCACTTTTATTTGCGAGAGGCATCAGAGGGAAGGGGGGCTTTCCACCATCATATGTTGAGGGCGTCATACTTGATGTGGAAGGCGTACTCGTCGTCATGGCAGTAGCAAATGAAGGCCTCCGCTTTGTTCGTCTTGGACTTTTTTTGTTTCCGTTTGACCCAGTTACTGTTGAAAGGATTTTTCTGCCCTGATTCCAACTGCCGCTTGAAGCAGATGTGGTTCCACCTCCAGTCGAGTTTGCCCGTCTTCGCTCGTGTGCGGATGTTCTCTTCGATCGTCACGACTTTCAGTGGTTTTTGGGAGTGTTCATCAAATTCAAATTCTTTGCAGCAAATCAATAGGGCTGTTTCCATATGCTCCAAACGCTTCTTGTGTTTTTCCCTGGTGCCATGAGCGCTGCATCACAGTAAAAAACGCACTACCTGTACCACAAAGACGCAAACCCGAACTCGTGGCCTGTGCATACACGTCAGGTGGCGGTCTGATAAAAGAAGCATGCCTGGCCCTCGTATATGTTACAATGTCAAATCCAAAAAATAGAAGTAGAAGTGATCAAAGAAGCATGCCTAGCACATCTACAAATACTACAACTGGAACTTCGCAAAGCCATTTTATCGGTGGGGCATCAGAGAACAGGGACAGGCTGGCCGCACTTTGACGCCAGGTCACTGCGTACTCATTCAACATGCATAACCTTCGTTCGCGGCGAACGAAGGTTATGCATCCGCTATGGTAAAAATAATGGCGTGCTGTGTTTGGATAGTGCTTCCACCTGCAAGAGAGCATGGGGCGACGGCGAAAACAGCTGGTCCACCGTCCCGCCCGTCAGAAAGTACTCCTCCAGGTCCTCCAGTTCTTCCGCTTCGAGGTGGTCCGCGAGTCCTTCCTTCGCCTCATTTCGGTGCTGGTGGGACACTTCCAGATCGCGCATCTTGTTCAGCATGGTGATGTTGAACGGCCGGAGCGCCATACTCCGCTGGATCTTTTTCTGCAGAAACATCGACGGCCGCATCGTGTCCTCCTGTCCAATGATGTCTCCAGAAAACGCCACTTCGTCCGACATCACCAGTTCTTCCTCGTGCTGCGAACCCGACTCCTTCTTGTTAGCCACCTTGGTACTACCCGCGGTGAGGTAGACGAACGTTGGGCCGGTGATCCAGGTTATCGCTGCCGAAACACGTCCATGGTTCTTGGGTAACCAAACATAGCCCGCAGCGAAGCCCGCGGGAGACGTGTTGGCGACCAGCGAGGGGAGCAGAAGTCGCCACATGGCCACGCTTCTTAGTCTCGATGGTTCTGGCCGTGGGGTTTGAGGCAGTCGGTACTTCCCAGCGCTGTGCTGGACGCGGCGGATTGGTGCGGTGTCCACGTCTGGGCGGTGGAGACAGGGGGCCGAAGCCCCGACGGATGAGTCTTGATAGCGTGAGACGTGTCCCTTCAATTTGAAGTGTTTGATGTCGGTGTGCGGATTCTTGGAATCCTGTTCTTGATCTTGAAAATAAACTTGGTGCTAGAGCAGCAAGGGACCACTCCGTCAGTTTCCTATAGCGTAGTAGATTGCGGAAAACTTTCGACTCGGAACGGTAAGCTTGGAGCGAATGAAAGCACAACTACACCAGGTAACTGTAATCAAAAGAGCTATACCTCTCTCCATATATCTGGGTGCTAAGAAGAACTACTCTGTAAGTGACCACACGCTGCGCTCGCTCGTAAAAATAGGTACTAGAAGCTACACTCTTCGTTGGCTACCACGCTGCTTCATTCTCACTGAAGCTAAAAGCTTTGCCTCATTCCGCTCCGGAAATAGTGACACTCATCTTTGACTCTACAATTCTGTTCCTTTGTCACTCTCACCAACCTACGCTCATACGCTAAAACAGGTGCACTTGATGATCTACGTGCGTGAAGAGGACACAGCTGCAGCAATTCTTTGAGGATGTCAATGCTCAAACAAAACCACAGCACTTTACTCTGCAAGTGCAATGCATGGGAGTACAGCTCCTACTACTTACAACAAGAACCGAGTTTGGCAAGACGAGACTGACGGTGCTTTCTGTGGAGGACCGATGATGCCTTATCTGGACAGAGCGAGGCGCAGAGCCAAATCAAGCAGCAATAAACTGCTGCCATTTGTCGTGACAAGATACCTGAAGCAATCTGCAGTGCCTGGTATGGATGTCTCGCAAGAAACAACTTCTTTCTGTGGTTATTCTTTTTTCAATCCAAAGTAGTTTTTGTCGTCCGAAACAGTCTTGTTGAAACGTTTGCTTTGATGATATACTCTGCCAGATTTCGTGGTCTTCTTCTTCTTTTTTGTTCCACATCTAACGACCACGACGAGACACACCTCCTTTATTTCGAAGTGGTGCTATTAAATCTGACACGATAATGAAAATGGAAAAAATGGTTTGCTTATTTGAAAGTCTATTTGAATGATTGAAATTGTAGCTTGAAAAGTCTTGAAAGTCGTAAATTTACACGTTATTGTGGATTGTGAAGTTTCGTATTTTTCCTCCGCCTCTTCCGTTCTCGAAATAGTAGTTTTATATCCGATGGCGCACTAGACCTCAAGCGGTTCCTCGAAAATTCTCACCCGCCACAGATTCTTTGTTATAGCCGATTGTAGCAGCAGCAGTTTTAGAAAATACAAGGTGAAAGATATATCAGAATAAATCACAGTTGCAGTTAGAAACAAAAATAGCAGATCCCAAGTGTAACATAATGAGCAGTAATGTAGAAAATAATAAGATGGAAAAGAAAAAGGCAGGTGAAACAAATTCTCGGGTCTCACAACTTATCTAGCGGAGCAAATTAATGTTTCATCGGATTCTAAAATCGGATTCTAAAAACTCTTACAAAGAAGATTATTGTAATTCGAGGCGTGGTTGTCAACACGCACGAGTCGTTTTGTCACCACTACCGCGCCTGCTTCTCTGACGCGGTTTGGAAAAGAAAAAATCTATCAGCAGTAACAAATTTCCCGCGCGCGAACAACCGAAAGGTTGTTGTTGTTGCGCATGACAAAACTCGCCTCCTATCCTACTCAGCACCACAACAAGTGCGCTCCAAGTTGGCGAAACAATTATTTGTCATGCATTTTGTACAACGCGATCTTGTTTTTGTGCGGGGAAAGGGAATTTGCTCTTTGCATAAAACCGTTGTAAGAAGTACACGGTTGGTGCACAGCAAGTCAAAGTTTCCCTCACTTCAGCTTGTACACCGAGTTCCTCCACCCGCCGCCGCACTTCTTGCCGGTCGCGCAATATGGAGAAGAGAAAGGGTTGAATTTGTCATGCGGGATTGCACAAGACAGGGAGAATGGTGATGCTGGACTACACAATTGATAAAGGCTTGATTTACCTTTTATGACTCGTCTATTTCGCATACGTTCCTCAAGGGTGTCGAGCATGCCAAAATATTTCTGTCAATCCAGTCCAGGCATGACAAAGTTTTTGTTCACTTTCTCGCGATACGCGGTCATTGGGGTCCATTTCGCAGGGCTTGCTGCAGTCACCATCGGGCTTCTTGCCGTACCGCTCGTGCTGCTTGCCGTTGCCGCAGAAGCACTGGTGCCCGTACTGGATGGCCATAAACTCCTTGTTGCGGCGACCGCACTTGCGCGCGCACTTCTTGACGGAGAACCGTCCGCGGATCCCCATCATGGCACGGGCCGGCTTGTCCTCGAAGCACCCGACCAGGTTGGTCTCTGGGGTCCCCCTGGCCTGCTCGTACTTGGCCTTGGCCTGCCGGATGGCCCAGTCGAACTGGCGCTGCTGGTATGCATTGCAAATAATATGTCTGGGTATCTGGAGCGCTGGAGCTTCTCATGCTAAATCCGAATCATACAAAAAAATCTGCGTTGCATGGCTGCCAAAAGCTGTCCACTTTTGACCAGAAGGGAGTTTCTCATGCAGGATTCTTAGCCATGATAGACCTCTCGCAGATTCTGTCATGCTAGGTCATGCATTTGACAAGTCTTGTGATCATCCAGGCCCAAACATATGTGCATTTGATAACTGGGCGCGGCACTTGTGGAACGCGCGGATGGCCTTGTGCCAGTTCTGCACCTTGGGGCGGAACCGAATATGGAGTTCTCAAACGTTTTATCCATTGCTAGCTGGGACAAAGTGTGATGCACAAATAGAAAAGCGAAATACACATTGCTCCGGCATTAAAAACTTGGAACGGACCAGCATCTCAATGCTGTTTTGGCGTTTCGGGAATACCTACCTTGTCAAGCGAAGTAATTTTTGGTCGCGTCGCCACCGATGGCAGTAATTATGCATCACAAATCATGGAACAGCAGAAGAGTCGAACGTTTGAAAATAACATTCCCATACTGCCGGGACGTCTGGTGCAGCTTCCGGCGGAATTCCCCGAGTTTGCGGGCGTACACAAACACGCGCTTGAACCTGATTTTTTCGATTGAATTGTAAGTGGTTCCCGCATTTCGATTTAGGACCTGCGACGCCGGAAAAAGTAGTCAACAGATCATCATTATAATCATCATCGTCTTGCTACTAAGGCGTAAACCTAAAAAGCCACACTTCATTCAAAGTGGATAACCTAAACCCTGATTGAAGCCTAAACTTAAACCGCACTTCATTAAAAGAACTCATGTTACATACCAGGGTGCCCTCCTGACCTCGGAGCGAAAGTGGTGTGCGGCTGCCCTGCGCGTGTTGACGAACCACTGGCGGTCCGATTGCCACTGCTTCTTGGCGCCCTCGAAGTCGGTGCGGCACTTGGCCAGCTCCTTCTGCTTAAACCCGTATGCATTGCAAATATGGTTGGGCGGAGAAACTTGTGATGCTGGTGGAGAACGACGAGACGCCTGCATTGACTAGCAAGCATGGCAAGTTTTGGAGGAACTGCAATGTTGTCTATGTATTTTGCATGATAAAGCGAACTTCGGCATGAAAGGAAAATGAAGCTTTGGCTTTCGGGTAACGCGCATGACAGACATGAGCATTCTGCCAGCCAAGCATGACAAACCACCCATCTTTCCTGACCCAGACATATTTTCATTTGATAACCCGTTCAGCTCGGCGATCTTGGCCTTGTGGTTCTCCTCCAGAGCCGGTGGTGAAAGTGAAAACCACTACTTAGGTTTGTCGCCTCATCTACAAGCAAACAGCACATAAAGTGCTGAGGGATCATTGTTGTATGCTGTCAGGGAAGACAGCCTGTATCAACGAGTCCTAAAAAAAAAGAAGGACGCCTCACCTTCAAGAATAACATGTCTACAAGAACATAGGCTCGCTGGAAATGGCGTCGTCAAAAACAAAATCAGCTTACACGATGCATAACAAGCCCATTTTGAAGCATACAGTAGATTTTTTTCACTTTCGTATTTTCATGGCGCTTTTCTTCGTTTCCTCGGCTTTCTTCTTCGCGGCCTCCGCTGCCTTGACGGCCTCTTCCGCCTTCTTGGCTTCCTCTTCCGCCTTCTTCTTCTTTTCCTTGTCCAAAGCGTCCTTGTCGGCGGCGTTTTTATTTATCAAATGCAAACATGTCTCGGTCTGGAAGGTTGCAAGGCCTGTCATGCAGGTTTTGCATAACGCGTGAGGTCTGTCATGCATGACCTAGCATGACAGATTCTGTGCGCCCACTGTCATGCCTCGTCTGCATGAGAGCCTGCCACTCAGCTTTGTCAAAAGCCGACAGCTTTTGGTAATTATGCAACACAGATTTAGATTTACGCATACGCACTATCCAGAATTAGCATGACAAGTTCCAGCGTTCCAGACCCAGAAATATTTGCAATGCATATTACTAGCTTCCGCCTGGTACTTGGCCTGCACGGAGAGGGAGTCCTCATTTGCGGCTTCCGCGTTCGCCTCCTCGGTCTCCTGGGTCTCGGCGTTCTCCGGGTTCTCATCCGTCTTTTTGTTCAGATATGGAAGACGAAACACAAGAATTCTTTTACCTCTGGAGGAACGTAGGAAACGACAACTTTCTTTTAGGTATGTTAGGGTTTTGACAACAGCAGTTGCAGAAGACGCCAAAGCTTAAATGTGAAAATAAATGTTACAAAAAATTATGAACTGTGAATCAACCTATGCACACTGCTCAGACAAATCTACTTTCTTTTGGAAGTAACAATGTTGCATCACAGCGGTAAAATCCCGACTTTTTGCGATTTCGTACCGGATTTTCCGGATGCGGCCACCAGTCCTTGATATGGCGTTCTCAACTGTTTACACTCTCAACTGCTACACGCATTTGTAATGCAAGAATAGCAAAAGCCAAAGGGAGGAGGTTGCACCTCTAGCATTACAAATTCCGCACAGATTTTAAGGCTATTTAGCACTTCAAAGATCTGTCATGTGAAACAGCGTGATCGTGTCGATTCTGATGGTGATTCTGCATGACAAATCCATGTAACAGTTGAGAATGTAACATTTGAGAACGCCATACTTGACGAAAAACGGGTTGGGGTGCTCATTCTCGGTGGGGTCCAGACGCTGTGATGGGAATGATTTATGTGTAACTTTGTCGAATCTATGAATATACAAAATTAAAATTTCCCTTCGATTTCCACACACCATGTGATGCATCTTCACAAAGCTGCTTCGAAGACCTTGTAACCAACCTGTTTTACCACATGCACAAGCACATGCGGGCACGGAAACCCACGTTTGTCATGCTACCAACGGTGAAAGACTACCTTTAAACAAAGAAAAAAAAAACATATTAATACGATGGTCGCCATCTGGTGTTCGGCGTTGAACTTGGCGAAGTCGAACTCCGCAGCCTTCTATCGCAAGAAAAAACTGTCTCACTGTGAATTTGTGATGCAGAGAACGAAGCAGTAAAGTGTTTGTCTTGTTACAACTGCAACACAATGGATTTTTAAGCGGTCTTTCCCTTACGAAACGCGCATGGCAAATTTTCTGTGTCATGTGTAGCAAACTTGTGATGCAGATCTTGCGAAACCATCACAGTGAAACAGTTTTTTCGTGGGATACCTTCTTCTTCAAGATCAACCTCTGCTTTTCTATCGGTTGGAAACACATGTCTGATGTTTTCTGGAAATAAAATCTCTGCACTGGTGAGTAGCATTAAAAGTTCTGCAGCCACTTGGCTCTGAAAAAATACCTATATTCTGCATGAGAAAAATTCCATCTCAACACGTGGTCAGGTAGATTGTTGGAAAACATTACGCAAGTCTCACGCAACACAGCTTTTTGTCTTATCGGAAACACGCATCACAAGTATTCGCCTTCATTTATTCTCCAGAGGACGCAGTAGACATGAGTAGTACAACCGATATTCTGCTGCTGCTCGCCATACTCGAGTCGCAAGCCGGAGACCGTCGTGGCAAGCACGGATAACCGCATCATTGACATGGCTGGCGCCATCATCCCTACCTACACGAGACGCTCCAGATATATGGCAATATATCGGAGGAGTTCTCGCTTGTCCACTACAACTCACGCGCTCGTGCCCTAGAATTTAAATTGTTATTCTTATTTACGGGTAAATTTATTACGAGTTGTTGTAGTAAAAATCGTGTGTGTTTGCGCAAAATAACGCTGTAGAACTTTTTTAGCAACAAAAAAAAATCTTGAAGTCGCAAGCGGCGACGACCCATGGAAAGAACAATGTGAACCGCGTTATAGACACCAAAAGATGACGACGAAAAGTAAAAACGATTGGAACACAACAAGAGGTGATGACTCTCTGCTGGTACTGACACAGCTTCTGCTACTCCAACCGCAGTGAAACGGCTCATTCTTTTTCTTCCTTTCCTATGCTACAGTTCGTACATTTGAAAAGCTGTATTGCTGCTTACACATTGTTGTTTGTGTTTAGATTGTGCTGCGAAACTGCACAGTCTGCGCTACAGACATGCAAAAGAAACAAGCAATAGGCTCATTCTAATTCTACTTCTTCTGCAAATTTTACAAAAGTTTTCTCTTCCTCCATTTCCTTCCTGCTTGTGCTTCCTTCAGATCGTTAAAACATCTTCGTGTGTGTGAAACTTGAAAACAGTGTGTGTGTGAAAAGAAAAACAATCTATAGAAAACAGAAAATAACTGTGTGTGAAAAGAAGAAAAAGTTAAAATAAATAATTGCATTCGATTAAGTTTAAGTAAGTGTGAAAAGAAAAGTGAAAAAAGAAGTAACTCGATTTAGATAGTAATGCGCGATTGAGTTTAAGTAAGTGTGTGTGTTTTATTGCGCGATCTTGAAGTTGCGAATGAAAAGAAAAATTCCATCTCAACACGTCGTGGCCAGATAAATTACTGGAAAACATGTCTTGCAACTCACGTAACACAGACTCTTGTCTTATCAGAAACACGCATCACAAATTCGTCTTTATTTTCCAGGAGACGCAGACAAGTTTACAGCCCATATTCTGCTGCTGCTCCCCATACTCGAGTCGCAACCCGGAGACCGTAGTCGTGGCAAGCACAGAAAACCGCATCATCGACGTGGCTGGCGCCATGATCCCTACCTATACGAGACACTCCAGATATACGACAATATATCGGAGGAGTTCTCGTTTAAGTCCACTACAACTCACGCGCTCGTGCCCTACAATTTAAATTGGTATTTACGGGTAAATTCATTACGAGTGGCTGCAAAAATCTTGTGTGTGTTTGCGGAAAATAATGTTGTAGAACGTTCTTAGAAACAAAGGGGATCTTTTTAAAGTCGCAAGCGGCGACGACGCAAAGAATGTGAACCTCGCTATAGACACCAAAAGATGACGACGAAAAAAGTAAAAACGTCGATTGGAACACAACAAGAGATGATGCCTCCCTGCTCGTACATTTGAAAAGCTGTATTGTTGTTTACACATCGTTTTTCGTGTTTGGATTTGCGCTGCGAAACTGCAGTCTGCGCTCTAGGCATGCAACAGAAACAAGCATTAGGCTCATTCTAGTTCTTCTTCTGCAAATTTTACAAAACTTTTCTCTTCCTCATTTTCCTTCTGCTTGTGCTTCCTTCAGATCGCTACAACATCTTCGTGTCTTCGTGTGTGTGTGTCGTGAAACTTGAAAACAGTGTGTGTGTGAAAAGAAAAACAATCCATAAAAATCAAATAACAGTGTGTGAAAAGAAAAAAAAGTTTGAGTAAACTGCATTCGATTAAGTTTAAGTAAGTGTGAAAAGAAAAAGACCTGAAAAAAAAGAAGCAACTCGATGCGCAATTAAGTTTTTAAGTAAGTGTGTGTGTTTTATTGTGCGATCTTGAAGTTGCGAATGAAAAGAAAAGAGGAGTTGATGAAACAGAAAACCTAATTTTTCTTCCTGGCGCACAGCCCGTTGCTTTTGTTCTTTTGCTTCTTGTTCCGCATGGTCAGCAGAAAATTCCTGATTAGAATCCTTGGTCTCTTCTTGATCTTATGGAGTGCAAAAGTGTCTGGGTCTGGAAGGTTACAACTTGTCATGCTAAATCCGAATCATGCAAAAATCTGTGCTGCATGAATGCCAAAAGCTGTCGACTTTCGACCAAGTTGGGAGCCAGTTTCTCATGCAGGATAGGCATGGCAGAGACCCCACAGACTCTGTCATGCTAGGTCCCGCATTCCAGACCTCATGGGTCATCGGAAACCTGCATGACAAGCTTACACTCTTCCAGAGCCAGACATTTTTGCAATCCATAGATCGCCCTGCTCACACCGCCGGCACCTTGTAGACGGAGTTACGCCACCCGCCACCGCACTGCCGCTCGCCATCCGCGGCTGGGGTTATGAAAGGGGAAGTTGTATTCCAGCTAGCTGCACAGTTGTCGGATCACAATCTATTTGTCATGCATTGACTACAAAACTCCTTCTTTGCTGCACTGACTGTTCCGCATGACAACATACGATCACGCGCTAGGCTGGTGAAATTTTCCCTGTACGATAAGGTCCTTCTTGCACGGGGTGCTGCAGTCGCCGTCCGGGGTCTGTGGTTTTGTTTGTCGAGCTGGTGCGCAATACAGATTCCAACGGTGCTGTGGCACGTGCATCACAAGTTCATGTCCCTCTATGCATTCCGTCCTTTCCACATGCAAACTCCGCATCACAAATTCGACGGCCCACTTCACTCTTATACCTTCCCGTACTTCTCGTGGTCGTTTCCGTTGGAGCAGCGAGTATGGAGAGGAAGAAGGAACGTCTTTGCTATGCATACATCGCATGACAAATTTGCTCAGCATGAGAAATGAAATTTGCCATGTGGATTAACGTTATCAAATACTTTTGTAATCATGCATGACTAGACATGATCCCTTTCCCCTTCGGGTACAAGCACTGCTGGTAGGACTGGATCGCAAAAAATTCGTAGCCCGCACAGTGTTATCCTGTGCAAAAGTATCGCACTCGTACTAATTGCAGTTATACATTACAAATCTAGTCGTTAAGGGAAATCCGCATTACAAATTTTATTTATCATGCTCACAAAATTTGTAATGCATTTATACGAGTACGATGCTTTTGCAGTTGATAAGTGTTCGGCGCACTCCGCGACCGAGTACGCTCCCTTGGCCATTTTCCCCATGGCGCGCTGTCGCTTGTCCTGGAAGCAGCCTTATGAACTGCAAAAGTATGATCACACTCGTATAAATGCATTACAAATTTCCTCAGCATGAAAAATGAAATTTGTAATGCTGATTTGCCTTCAGAAAAACATTTATGATGCAAAGCTTGCATTTATACGAATACGATACTTTTGCATTGGATAAACCCAAGAGGACAAAAGGGTCGCCCGGCGGTGCGGGGGCGGATCCGGCGGTGGCGTCCGCGCCGGCGGTCACGGTGGTGGCTTTGTATGGATTGTAAAAATCCCTGGATGTCTGGAAACTTGTGATGCTGGGTGGCGTATCATGAGGAGGCCACAAGTGCTGGCTCAGCATGACAAGTTCCTGAGCTTCTATATGATGCCTATTCTGCATGACAAACTGCGTTTTTGCATGACAGAAAAGTGAGGCTCTTGAGTAATGTGCATGACAGATTTAAGAGTCATGCCAGATCGAAGCATGACAAACTTGCACTCTTCCAGACCCAGACATTTTTACATTTGATACTTTGTTATCCCGAGCAAAAACGCCGTCATCCCATACTCAAGATTGATGACCACTCTGCAGGACAAATCCAGAACTTTTGGAACTCAACACGCATGACAAGCTCGACTGTGAAGTATAGCGCTGCCTTAGAGCCACTACAGACGCATTACAAATCTAACTCTAACCTCTTATCCTGATTCGCGCATGACAGATTTTTCCCAAACACCACTACAGAGCGGCTCTCATGGAGACGACCTGCATGAGAAACATTCTAAATCTACATGCGAATTTGCATCACAAATCTGGGGTAATGACGACGTCGTTTTTCCGCACGATATTCCTTGGCTGACTCTTCGAAGTCCTTGGTGTTGGTGCCGCAATCACCCTTGATGGCCTCGACGTTGGTGGAGTTGGATTCGTGGACCGCTTTGGCAGTGTAGTCCGTTAGGGATGTGACTTCCCCGAGAATGCACGGGAGCTTGCCGCCAGCACACGGATCTTTTATCTGAGAGGTTGTTTCGAGAAAATCAAAATGTACAGTCTGTTTTGCTACCGCGTAATACTATTACAATCCAAGAACAATATCGTCCACAAAACTCTGGTCATCTTATCGGAGAGGAGTCTGCTTTTACTTGAATTTTATTCTTTCAAGCCAACATACGATGGCAGGTTTGATTTTCAATGCCGTTCAACTTCGAAAATCAAGCTGCGGAATAAAACACGCTAAGTACCTTATCCGTGCAGCAACTGTCCGCCCCGCCTTCCCACGTGCACGGCGCCGCCGTGCCAACGGCGACATCGTCGGACTTCCCCAGCTATGCATTGCAAATATGTTCGGGTCTGGAAGGTTGCACATTGTGATGCATGCTGTAGGTCACACAAAAATTTGTCTTGCGCGAGTTAGCACAAGATACACATTTTTGGCGATGTTGATGAAATTGCATTTCTCATACGGAATACGCACTGCGAAGCCGTTGTCTAGACCTCGCGGGACATCTGAAATCTGCATGACAAACTTCTGGATTCATCAACATCCAGACCCAGACATACTTGCATGTGATACCAGCTTGTTCTCGCACATCAATGGCACGCATCCGACCTTGGTGGGGAAATCTTTGTTGGGAACGTAGTAGGGCGTTACCAACCCGTGCATCGAGTCACACTCCAGCGCCCACTCATCCTGCCGTTTTGATGTAGTGGTCTGCTGTGATATCTTTTTGCCTTTCTTCAATACCAAACCGGAGGCTGCGAGGAGGTCGCTGGAAGAGTAGTAAACGAGGGCGGCGGGAGCAAGCACCGAAGTGCGCAGCGAACGGGCGGTGGGCATGGTCCTATTACTCTACGTCTATGGTTCTTTAATATACAGTGTACTATTTTACAAAAAAGACCAAAATGGGCTTGTAAGTAGGGGAAGAAAACAAAGCACTACCAGAACCGAAATAAGTATGATCTTCGGGAAAATGATTATTCCGACGCCGCAAGAAGACCCTGCAGGTCAACCGTGATACGTGCGCGTCTTTAGCATGAAGATCGTGTGGAGAGAGCAGGTAGTTGTAATAGATCTTTCCATCTCAAGTGAAACCGCAAAAGAACCTGTTACGAAGTCCTTGATCGCCACCCTCGTCTGCGGGGGTGAACATCTTCTAAACACGTTTTATACCTGCAAAAATACCTTGACATCTCGTTTGAAATTTCCTTTCCTGTTTATTTCTCCGATTAGAAACACGTAGCTAGGGGCTACTCCAACTATCCTGTATTCTCAGAAACAAAGTTCTTCAGATAAACACGGCAAGAAACGCAGAGGGTTTTGTAACCCTCCAAAATGGACATTGCAAAATCATCAAGTAGTACCGTAAGAAACAGAGCTCACCTGGCAAGAAAACGGAAAGAACCACACCAGTACATAGCGATAGCTCCTACGTAATGTTTTTTTACTTGGTAGCAATAAACCGCAAACTCTATTCTCAAGAGCAAAATTAACTTCAGCAAGAAACCAAAGCTTATTCCTCCCGGCATCTCGATTCTCTATCCCAGCAAACGCAAAAACCACAGAATCGTCATCTCCCGTCTTCAAAACGCGTGCGCGGCCATCGCGTCGAGTTTCGCCCGTATCCAAGAAAAAAACATTGTAGGTGTAACTTTTTTGGAGGAACAGCATTACAAATTTGTCTGGCATGACAGCAAAAGCCTGTCATGCACAGATAGTACTTGAAAACGCCCTTTAATGGACCCTGCGATGCATGCCAAGCATGACAGACGCAATCATCTTGCATGTTGCGCATCAGAAATTTACACTAACAACGTTTTTTTCTTGGATAGCCCGCAACACTGGATTATTCTTCTCATTGATCAGCTTTTCTTTCATCGATTTTCGTTGGTGCGCCCGCCCGGCGTTGGCATCTTCCAGAAAGCTTTTCGGTAGTATATGGATTGCGCAGACGGAACAAAAATCTCGGCCGTGGAAACATGTATTAGGCATAAGTAGGTCTTTGTCTTGCATAAACGGCAGAAGCAGTGTCTACTTTTACTAGGTTGGTCTATCTTTGCATGGAAAATTTTATGCGAATTCCATAACTCTTGTGCAAGTTCGAGGAGTGTCCATGATTTGTCATGCTACACTCTCTGACCGCAGGACAGGTGATCCGCATTTTGCATCACAGATTGCATCATTTGACAGTGTAATTCCATCTGAGCAGGCCATACGGCACTTTCCAACCAACGTTGTAGCCGTAGATGGATTTCATTTCGGGAATATGCACGACAAAAGTTCTACTGTACGTAGGTTGCTCTTAGAGCACAAACCGCACGACAGGTTTGATGCTCAGATGTTGGCGATATTTGTCATGCAGGTTCAGGCACAACGAACGACATCTGTCATGCAGTATTGCAACTTCGGTACAGTGTAGTACTTTTGCTCTACATACCTCACCTGTTTCCCCACCACCCCTTTCGCCTATGGATGTGTCAGGATCGAAATCGACAAAATCGAAAAACTTGCGATGCATAAAATGCAGGGCACTGAAGGCCTGTATTGGGGAGCAGGCAAATGAGACCGATTGCAAGACTGTTTAGGGGTACGCAATGTGCTGCCAGAGTAGCATGACAGGAGCAGTCTTCTTTGTCCAAACAGCATGACAGACTGGAGCTGGGTGCTCCCGAAATTTGTCGTGCGCCACTTGGAAACTGAGGCCCCAACTGGTATCGACTCCATGCATCACAAAATTTTCGACTTTGTCAATTTCGATTCTGACACTCCCATATCGCCTGCCCCTTCGTGATTTTTGACGCGTCCCCCGTGAGCCACTTCTGGTATTGCATTCCCTTATCAAAAGGAAAGCCCCCCCCTCCCCATATCGAAAACGAAATTTGTGTTGCTTTATTTGAGTACACAAATCGACTTGTATTGCTAGAAGGCCAAGGGACGCAGTTGTGCCCTCATTTGGAGTCAATTTGTCATCCTGTTTCCCGTTTCCAGGTGCTTCCTGTCATTCTGAAGACGCAAGGTGTTCCTGCGCCAGCCAGCACTACAGTCCGCATCTTTTCCCTTCTAGCATCACGAAGCTGATTTGTGGCCACAAATCTGCATCACAGATTTCCACTTTGATATGGGGAGGGGGCATTTTTCATTGTAATATCCCTCCGCCTTTCTCTTTTCGATCATCTTGGCCAGCGTCGTCACTTTTCCGTCAACCTTCCGCACCTCTGGCGTAGCTGGGTGAAAGTTTTTCAGCGACGCGATCGGTTTGCCAAAATGCATGGCTTTCTCCATCGGCGTTTTGAGAATGTTCTTCTGCGCCACCGGCATCGCCAGGCACAGAGGGCTTTGGTGCACTCCGGTTTGGTTCAGCTGCACGCCGAATTTACTCGTTTTCGAAGACACGTGCCCTATCCTGTGGAAAAACGTCCCCACCCTAGAGTCAATGATTGGGATCTTCTCTGCAACACAAAGCCCGACGGTTTGGGAATCACGCATGCGAAGTTCCTCGCTGTATCGATTGGAGTGAGGGTTAGCAAGCGCAAGGACAGCCGCATCACAAGGCCATGTCCTTATGCTGTTTCTAGCATTACAAATGCAAAAACGCGTTTGAGAATGCCTCTCATGCGGATGCGCATGACAAGTTTGCCTGTTATTGCACATCCGCATGACAATTCCGGGGTGGGACGTGTTTCCAAAGGGTATCTCCCTCACTGGTCTCACTGCTGAACCCGAACATCCCCTTGAAAGAATCAAATGCAAAAGCATCGCACGCGTACTAATCGCAGATATGCATGACAAACCTGATTCCCAGGGTAAATCAGCATGACAAATTACATTTTTCATGCTGCGGAAATTTGTCATGCGATTTATACGTCGTACGACCATACTTTTGCAATGCTTAGAAAGAATCCAAAAACGATTTCAAAATGGATTTCGCTTCTTCCGCCTGTTTCCCGACATTCTCCGGATTGTAGTCGTCCTGCCCCAGGCCTTGTCCCACGAAAAAAGTGTTACAGTTACACATTTGTAGTCAATTCAGCAACACAAATTCCTCTGCATGAGAGAGAAAACTTGTAATGCAGAAATCCTAGGGGAAAACACCTATGAAGCGAGGCTCCTATGCATATCCGGCATGACAGAGCTTGTCTGTCTTGCTTGGCCTGCAGAGACTATGTGTAACTGTAACACTTTTTTCTTGCGATAGGCCTGCCTTCTGAAACCCCGGGTCCTTACTGTTTGTCGCCTCAATGCGAAAATTCGCCGCCCGGTGCACGTTATGAATTGCAAAAGTAACGGACTAGTTCTAGTAAAAATTGCAACACAAACTGGCTCAGCATTACAAATTGAATTTGTAATGCGGATTTGCCTTGGGAACTAGATTTGTAAATGCATAAATGCAATTAGTACGAGTACGATACTTTTGCACAGGATACACGTCCCGAACCGAGGACCAGGTGGGATTCAATGTGGTGTGCTGCAGGTAATTCGCGTCAAAACAGCCGTGCAACACGTTTTCGCAGTAGTTTTGCTGGGCTTTCACGTTATCCTGCGCGGAGAGCATGTTGTCGTAGGGAAGGGGTTCGTAGGTGGGGATGTAATTCCCCGTAGCTTCGTCGATTTTGTAGATCTGCCGATCCAGTTATGCGAGTACACACCCCCCCTCTCCCTCATTTGTATGGCGTGGACAGCAACACAAACACCAGCACACGTGGAGCCTATGCATGACAAATTTATGTATCTGATGTAGTACTGTTTGGGCTCCCGGAATTTGTCATGCAAACAGTGCCACCGGGCAGCGGCTGGATTTGGGGTTCTACATGACAAATGAGGGCGTGGGGGAGTTGTGGACTGTCATACCAACCCGTGCCGGTACCACTTGCTGTGACCCGCCCACCACTTGCAAAATTCGTTACTGCCCTGGTACGTGCCTTTGACCTCGGTACCCAACTCGGACTTCACGCCGGCGCTGATGTTTTTTGTGTATTACAAGTAGCATGTTGATCTGTAATGCTGTTCTCGCATGAGACAGTCTTTTTGCACTCCTCCCGCTGCATGACAAGTTGAAACAACCAGCACAGCACATCTACAAGAAATACGTGTAGTTTATCAGTTCCTTCGCCCCTCCAACTCCCTTCATCAGAAGCAGGAACGGCAGCAGCGCGAGCCCGGCCACATACGCTCCCGCAATGGACATGTTGCTTTTCTGCTTCTGGCAGCCTTGAAGAGACGGGTCCATTTCGCACTGGGTCGGCGTATCATCCCCGCACATTTCGTTCGACTTGCCGCGCTATGCAGTGGAAATGCGTCTGGGATGTCTAGAAACTTGTCATGCTAGCTGGCGTATCACGAGGACCCCGCAATTTGTGGCGGCCACGCATGACAAGCTTTTGAGTTACTACTTGTTGTCTGTTCTGCGTATCAAACTTAGTTTTTGCATGACAAAAAAAAACTGGACTTATCTTGAGTGATGCGCATGACAGTTTTCAAAATCATGCTGGCAGCGCATGACAAAACTCGCAGTCTTCCAGCCCTCCCAGACACATATCTCTGTTCGATACCTGCCACATTCCGATCGAGTTGGGATCGGGGTTTCCCATCGGAGGGCGCCAGTCCTGGAAATTGTAGCCCGGCGGGGGGAGGGATCCGTCCGCTGGCATCTCCTTGGACTGAAATCCTTTCAGCTGGCACTGCCCCATACGAATGGGCACGAAGCGCAGGATTTCTTGGGACTGATGTTTATCCAGCTGGGCGTAGGGAAATTCGACCCGCGGCTTCCAGGTCCACTGCCAACTGACACAGCCCGGCGTGGATATGCAACGCGCAAGGCACTCGTTGGAAAAAAACCCGTTCCACGGCAGGGGCATGATAAACAGCTGAATGAACGGTATGTAGAACATATGCATTGCAGCAAATATGTCTGGGTCTGGAAGGATACAAGTTTTGTCATGCTTGTCTGGCATGACTGAAGAGTTTGTGATGCGTATCCAAGAAGAGACCCATTGGTTGTCATGCAAAATTCGCGGTTTCTCATGCGGAAAGTGCAACACTAAGCTGCGCAAGTATTTCTCATGCTTTGCTGTGCATTACAGAGCATTAGCTAATCACAACTCAGCATCACAATTTTCCAGACCCGGACATATTTACACTTGATAGAACAGCGGCGGGAGCAATCTCGTGTACGAGTACTTCGCCGTGCCCGGACGGACGATATCAAAGGGAAAAATGCCTCCACCCCGGAAGTTGTGATGCAAAGCTTCCAAAGGAAACTTTTTGTCTTGCATGAAAGGACTATGAGTCTTTCTGCTGCAGAATCTTCTACATCGGTGTCGAGCAAGGCATCTTTTACATGACAGGCCCAGCCGTTGCTGGGGTCTTGCGCAACACAAATTCTAGCTATTCAGCATTGAAAATTTGTGATGCTGAAACATGCACAAGAGGAGGAACGTTCCCAATGCATAGCTTTGCAATACAAATGCTGCCAGGTTATGGGCATTTTTCATTGCGATAGACGATCCCCGTGATTTGGTTCTTTTTCAGCTCCTCCTTGCCGCACTTCTTCGACCCGGTGGGCCCGCTGACCGCCAGCCCCAGAGCCGCTTCCGGGTGGGCTATCAAATGCAAATATGCCTGGGTCTGGAAGAATGCAAGTTTGTCATGCTTGTCTCGCATGACTCTACTTAAGTCTGCAATGCACGAGCAGGAAGGCAGCCTCTCACCTGTCATGCAAAAATGCAGTTTCTCATACGGGAAGCGAAAATCATAGGAGCTCAGAAACTTGTCATGCGTGGCTGCGTAACGTAGTGCGCCCACCATTCACAAACTAGCATCACAAGTTTCCAGACCCAGACATATTTGCAGTTGATATGGGCCCGCGTGAAGCACGCTTGGTTCCCGAGCCCGTTCAGGTGCTTCTTTACCGGGTACGGACCTTGTTTGCAGCAGCAGTTGCCGTCTTCGTTTATCATATGTAAAAGCAGCCCCACGCCATTGTTAAGATGGGAAGTCCGCAACACAAATCCTCAAGTTTTGGAAGTTCTGCATGACAAATTTGGCCTCATAGTGTCTTCCTGTTTAGCTAGTTAAGCAGCATCACAGATCCAGCACAGTCAGCATGCCGATTGGAGCATGACAAATTACTAAACACGACTACAAAATGCCTCTCATGGGGCTCCGCATGAGAAGCATTTTTACCATGCAGATTTGCATGACAACTCTGGGGTGGGGACGTTTTTACTCAGGATATCGTTGGGCGTTTGCTCGAAATAGAGCAGCCGTTCGGCAGTGGTATCGCAAGAAAAAAGTGCTACAGCTACACATTGTGTTGCAGGCCAAGCAGGACAGGCAAGCTCTGTCATGCCGGAGATGCATGGGAGCCTCGTCTCATAGGTGTTTTCCCGTAGGATCGATTTCTGCATTGCAAGTTTTCTCTCTCATGCAGAGAAATTTGTGTTGCTGAATTCACTACAAATGTGTAACTGTAACATTTTTTTCGTGGGATAAGTGGACGGTATCTTGTAGTACGTGTACGCCCCTTCCTCTACAAAATCGTCCGGATCCGTGTTTTCGTTTATCCCGCCGCTGCCGTTATCTTCCACTTATTACAATGAAAAATGCCCCCACCCCAAAACTTGGGAGCATTTGTATTGCAAGCCTTTCCAATGGCAACACTCACCGCGTTGCATGTATCAGCATCACAGATTTTCGGTAGCGAATAACAAAAATCTGTATTGCAAAAGATCCCAGCAAGAGCGGCGCTTGTCATGCAAGTAGCGATGCGGTATACGACTAGACTCTGCATCAGAAAGATTCGTAGTCCTTTCAGGCATGACAAAAAGTTTTCATTTGGAAACTTCGCATCACAAATTATTGCAAACTTCGGGGTGGTGGCATTTTTCATTGTAATACCACTCGCACTTGGTTCACCGGCTCCTCGGCGGCGTTCGCCCGCCGCACCTGCTTCCATATGCATTGCAAAAATGTCTGGGTCTGGAAAAGTGGAACTTGTATTGCATGTCTTGCATTCCTGAAAAATCTGTAATGCACAGCCAGCAAGAAAGGCGCTACTTTCTCGTCCTGCAAAAACGCAGTTTGTCATGCGTGCTACGCATCAGACGGCGTCAAGTATGCCTGTCATGCATGGCTGCACTTGAAAGCGCCAGTCATCTTATCCAAACTTTAGCATCACAAATTTCCAGACCCAGACATATTTGCATTTGATATTCCAGCACCGGGAACAGCACTCGGCCTGGCTGTGCACCCCGAAACAGGTGTCCCCTGGCGAGGGATCCCAGTTGGTTTTGAAAACGGGACTGGAAAGAAAGGAGGTGACAACGACATGGGTCGTCGTCGTGTGAGAATTGTTCATTTTTCCGCTACGACCATGGTGCAAACCTGCCGCGGTGGGAGTAGTTGTGATCAACATCATCGGCTCTCCATTTGATGTTCCTGGAAGTGGGGAAGATGTCGTCGTGACAAGCTGTGATGTTGCGTCGATAGTAGAAACATCCGTATCTTGCAGGAACAGAGTGCTGTGGCGTCCTCGTATCGCTGGATCATCGTGGGCCGCCGCGTATGGAGGTGACGTTCCGGGTACTAACGTAAAGCGGTGGAGAAGCTCCTCGAGGGAGTTGGTAATCGAGTGAGAAAAACTCATTCTGTACTATGTGTGCGCTGTGCCCGTCGGTAAAAAAGATAAAAACTTCAAGTCCCTTCGTAGCTCACAATACAACATTTTCTTTTCGACAAAAACGCGCAGCTGCGGGCGTCGGACAAATCAACAAATACTCCTGTGGGTGATGAATATATACTTGAAAGCGATGTCGGATTTTTACACAAACCCTTGATGAAATAAACGGGATTTTCGCTCTAGAAGGCACACGCGCTCCGACTCGAAACCCATTTTGACGCAGCAGCGACGCTCAGTACCTACACCTCTCGTCCCTCCTCGAACATGTTCTTCCGTGCGAGATCTCAGCTTGCGCTTCCACTGACGGTGTCGCCACCGATCAATGACACTACGCGTACGCTGCAGCGAGACGCCTCATGATCTTTGGAGAGAGTACAAAGGAGCCTCCGACCGGGCCCCACGTGCGAAGCCAGCCTGCCTCAGCAAGCCTGGAAGAGACAGCAGATTCCAGGCACGGGCCCTGCGCCACACATCCAACCGCGGTGGGCGGGCGCCGGGGGGGCGCGGGTCCGCTCAACGGCGCGCGCGGTGCTACCTCGTAAATGGCTGGCGGACAATCCAGGCACACAGGCAGAAAAAAAAACGGACGGGCGCGCGACCCGTCGGGGCCCGAGAGAGAGCGGGCGCGGGCCTCCCTTGGGAAGGTGCGGGCGCAGGCGGTAGGCGCGCGCGGGCGGCATGCAGCAGCGGGCGGGCCCAAAAAACACAGGGCGCAACGGCCACGCACATACGCCAGGAGGTTCGAAATGTGGCTGGAATCGCTGCCCGTTGGTGCTCTGCGGTTTCCAGGCGTCGGCGTCGGCGTGGCCAATGCCTCAGGCTGCCGCGCCAGGCATGCCCACGGCATCGACTGCCGGGCACCCACTGCCCTGCGCCCGCGAAAGGCAACCCCTGCCCCATTTTCCCGCGCATTCTGCCACCGGCCTGCTGCGCCGGTGGACCAGGATGCCCCCCGCCCCGACCTGCTGCCGCGGCGGGTGTTCCGGCTTATCGCGGGCGGGGAACGCTGCCGCCCTACATGATATCGCGCCTTTGCTCAAATAGAAGCAGCGGAGTATCACTCTGCTTACTCACGCACGCACTTGCGCTCAAGCAACACTCACTATGGTATAAAGTAACTCTTTTGTATAGCGCTATTGCTCTTTCACTCTGAACAAACGCGAAGAAGACCATGACTGAACAAGAAGTGCGCGCTCGCTCCAATGGCGCGAGGTTGCTTGAAAAGTTTGATTCCTAGTTCATTCGAAATAGACGAAAATCATAAGAAAACTACGGTCTCTTTTTTGTCGTTAGGTGTTTCGATGCGTGGGTCAAAATTTTCAATGACTCCATAAAAAAGTTTTTCAGGTTGAGCTGGTCTGTCGCGTGCTTGGACTCGATGAAAGTTCAGCGCTGTAGTACACATCTTTTGTAATTTGTAGGTGCAGCACATCTAACAAAGTATTCAGTATTGCCACGGACTACCTCCGTCCAAGTTTACTCGCTCCACGTAGGGCAGCGCGAATCTTCTCGGTATTCTCAACTAGATACAGCAGCTTCAGCACATAAACCACTAGCACAATTTTTGTTTTTTGTTCGCCCGCAATACGAAGAGTTCATACATTATGAGTTACAGCTGATGTCGCTAGGTGTAGATACAAAAGGTCGACCTTTAAATGTTGCATTTCTCAAAACGTTAGGCTTTCTGCATTTTAGTCGTAGAAGTACGGTGACCTTCACTATTGGGGCAAAAGAGACAAAGGGTGCATCGCTATTTGTTTATGACGTTTGTTTCTAGTTCATTAGCGATACGGTAGTATTGGTACTGATCAATCGCTAGATATTTTTTCATTCTTCAACATCGTGTGATTATCATTATAGAAGATTTCTGAATCTCACCTCCGCCCCATCCCCCGCGTGGTCGCGCCTCCGCCACGGTCACTGCACGACCTTCCCGACTGCTGATGGGAACTCCTCGATCTTGCCCCCCGTTCGTTCTTGCCCGAGATTTTATGCTTGGACGAAGGTCCTGTTCCTCCTGCTCCGTGATTATTTATTCCACTGTCGCCACCAAAACTTTTCGGTAAAATCGGCACTCCGCGGTTGGATTTCCCCGAAGAGCCGCCAGAGGTACGGTTGCAGGTAGATTTCGTTTGGTCGTCGCTTTTCCGGTTTTTAAGACAGGTTGTAGCTTTGATGTTGTTCATATTGGTGTTGTTGACCACAGAGGTCGTGGTCGTCTCGTCTACTGCATCTGGATCTGCAGTTGTTCCTTCGAGATTTAATATTTTACAAGCGTTATAGTTTTGCTGTTGGTCCGTGCTTATCAAATGCGAAAGTGTCTGGGTCTGGAACATTGCCGGGCTTGTGTTTGTCGTGCATACGTTGCATGACCCAGGACGTCTGTAATGCACGACCTAGCATCACAGATTTTTTAGCGGGCTTCCTGATGCTTACTCCGCATGGCAAATAGCCTCCCGGCGTAGCACAAACTGGACTCCTCTTGCTGCTCATGCAATACAGATTTTTTTAGAGTCGAAAGTTAGCATCACAAGTTCCAACCTTCCAGACCCAGACACTTTTGCATTTGATAGTGATTTTTATCTCCTTCACAGCTTCGTCCAAGCGGCGGAGGTTCCGGTGCTGCTTCTTGCCGGGAAGATGATGCTGAACATCAGCAGGGAGAATTTGCGTCGCTGCTGCTGCTGCTGGGTCCGAATCTGCATGCGGAGTTGCTGCTTGTTCCACCATCTGATTGTCCACATGATGACTCTGATTGTTCACATCTTCCATAGCTTCGGCAGGAAGTCCGCCTGTTGCTGCAGCTGTCGAGATCGCCCCATGACCTCCTAGAAATTGTACTTCATTTGTCGACTTACTACTCCCTCGTTTCGAACTGAAAAACTGCCCTGCGTCCTCCGAGCACGAGTTGCTTTGAAAAGCGTCGGTGTGCTGGGCGGTGGACTCTTGACTTTGCTCCGCGGTAATAGGACGGTGAGTCATCTCACTAATAGAAAGAACTGTTGCAGCGTGAGCTGCACCAGCAGCAGCTGCAACACCTCCAACGCCGGGTATAGTAATTTCTGCTCCCGCGTACTTCGCAAGATCCGCTTGCACCACCGGAGCAGGGGCCGACACGGCGTCTCTGGTCGTCGTGGTGGCCATCGGAGTAGTACCTGGAAAGATCGTAGAGTAGAGTAGTTGCATGATTGGAATGGAGTACATTCATGCATCTGTCGGAGATACATTCAGGTTTTGATATTACACAGCAGCACAGTATAGTCTCTGTATCATTCCTCTCACTGAAAAAGAGAGAGTTAGGCTTTATCTTGTTCAGAACCACGATCATAGTTAGTTGTACCTTGCGAAAAGTGTAAGTTCAGGTTCACATCGACCTCCAAGGGCTGCTGGTCTACCCCTTGGGGAAGATGACCACCAGGCGTCGCAGCCATAATCATATCTCCTCGTGGCAAATGCAGACCTTCCTGTCCACGCGGCGTCGTTTTCAGTGTCAGTTCCGGTTGTTCGCGAAGGATGTAGCTCGGAGTAGGCAGCTGGTGGTTCACAAGCATGCTCGTTTCCATCGGCGGTGGTGGCAGGGGCATGGGCATCATCTTCTTGTTGCCCACTTTCTCGGCGGGAAAAAATCCTCCACCATGGGGTCGTCCATTATCATAACGGCAAATATCAGCATGATTATGCTGGCCCATGCCCATCATCATCGAATTATTATTATTGCCAGCATTGCTATAATAGTTCCTGGTCGTAGAATTCGAATTTGATGTCATTCCAGAAGAAAGCATCCGACAGCTGCTGTCCTCCAGTTTCACACGTTTTGTCGGTGGGGGTAGGACTAACTCTTCTGGGCAGTGGTTGTGCTGCGGTGCGTTTTTTGCCATGGTGTTGTACATGCTGCCACCGCGAGGATCCAAAGCGGCCTCATTATGACCACCTGTGGTAGCAGTAGTAGACATCATGATGACATGGTTACTACTGCTCTTCTTCTTGGGAATCGGAAGCACTTTTCCCAGGTTCGACGCGGCTTTTTGCTGCAGCCCCGGGAGCGACTGCGGCTTCACTTCCTTGACCGCGGAGAGCGGCTCATTGTCATTTTGACGATGCGGCGAAACCAAGACGTTGTGGTTGTGTTGATGTAGGTCTGTCGGCGCGCCGTGAGGAAGAACTGGGAAAACATTATGCCGCTGCACCATGATGTCCCTGGTTTGCAGGGGCGTGGAAACTCCGAAGCTACTCGCTGGGGAACAAGCCTGTTGGAACTGGTCGGGAATCTGGTCGAGAGGTAAAGCAGAGATCGTCGCCGAGGGTGGAGGACGGCTTGACTGCTGTTGTTCCTGCTGCTGCTGTATTTTTTCTTGTTCAACAGCATCAGCTGGCGGAAAGTGCCCGTAAATCGCTTCCGATTTTTCGTGGATATTGCCTTTTGTTCTGTGAGAAACAATTTCCGCGATGTCGTTGTAGGTGATGGAGCGAGTCGTGGTTTGGTCGTTGTTGCAACTGCCGTCGAGATCGTCCTGTTCCTTCTGCGATGCGGCACTTACACGGCCAGCAGTACCAGTAGGGACTTCTTCATCATTATCTTTGTGCATTTCAACATCTAGAAGTACTTCTCCGACATTATCGTTTGTTCCTTGCGCGTCAACACAAACACCAGCACCACAAGGCTCCGGCTGCGCCGGCGGCGCACCCGTTACTTCCTCAAGCGAGCTGGCTACGGGGAAAGCCGAAGTGCTTTCCACATCATCCACAGCATCGCGTCCTAGTTCTTGCCCTTCCCCTTGCATCGTCGTCCCTGCTGCGCAAGACAAATTTGGGTCGCAGCTCTCACAACTACCAGTACCACCCAGCTGTTGCATCATCAAATGGTGTGGCGGGGGCGTCGTGCTGGAATCTCGTCGGGGTTTTTGCTCGGCGAGCGACGGGACAAGGAGGTTTTGGTTTTCGCCACCAGCACTCGGAGCTGAATAAACAGTCTCATGATCTCCCAACACAGTCTGCCCGTGCAGCACGGGCGGCCTTTGCACCACGCCCGCAGTCGTGCTGGTCGGAACATCAAGCGGCGTTCCACCGATCATGGGGATCTGGTTCACAGAAGAAAAAACTGCAGGCGTGGTAGTTGCCTGTCCGAGAGAACTGCAACTCTTCGTACGCTGGTTATTCATCAGAACCGACGTGGCTGCACCTCCATGGTCTCGCTGCGTGGTCGCGGAGAGCTGCATTGTAGGTGGACCAATGAGATTCCCGGCTGTCGCCCCTGCTTTCCTCCGATCGCACGACCCCAATCCACCAGCACCCCCGCCCTGCGCTTCGAATAAAACTTCTCTTTGTTTCCGGGTCAAAATTTTCGTGTCCGGTGGCGGTTTCGCCGGGTCGAAGAGGCTGTAGGCTGGGAGATCGTTGGCATGCTGGTTGTGTGAAGTAGACGTCGGCGGCGCGGCGGAAGTACAACTGCCTGGCGGCCGTAAAACTCGGTCGAAATCGAGCGGCTGCTTTTGTGCGCCGTGAGCTGCTCTCCCACCCCCGTGTCGTCGCTGCGTCGGTGGGCCAATGGGCAAGTTGGGGTTCATAGAAGCCGGGGAGCCGAGGCGGTAGTTGCCGTCGTAGGAACTGTGCAGCGGCCCACCTCGAAGATCATGATGCTCTCCCCTCAACATCTTTCCGCTTGCAGTGGTGCCACTACTTCTCGGTCCTCCGTTATAGGCGTGGTCTGTCATCCGGTGCGTGGGCGTTCCGTAGATGCTGGAGAAACCAGATCCACCGCCGGAGGAAGGTCCGTACATGCTCGCGTACCCATTGTAGTACCCGCCCTTCCCCCCACTACCGGCGTAGTGGTGATCTCGGTCGTACATCCAACTCATCATCGAGCTCCAGGAGGACCCCTTTCCCTTCATCCCCTTGTGGTGGTACGGAGACATCGAGCAGGAGGTGGAGTACAAATCCAAATCATGATAGCCGCTAGTAAAACTTCTGCCCTTCTGTTCCATTCGCCTCATCTGTTGTAGTTGATCTAGCTCGCGAGCAGAAGAAGACCCGGCTGTTGTTCCCCGCGAGGACACGCTGTCCGTCAACGGGGGCGGCGGGCCCATCACCCCGACCTCGTCCCAATTCTGAATGTTTTTTACCACCTTTTCGTAACTCGTGCCCACCGGCAGGTTCCGCAATTTTTTCTGCGCTTCCGAGCTCGTCGCGTCGAACAGCGTATCAAGTGCAAAAATGTCTGGGTCTGGAAGAATGCAACATCTGTCATGCAGATTTCTCATGACCCATGATGCCTGTAATGCACGACCTAGCATCGCAGACTTTCAGAGGGCTTCCTGATGCACCTTCCGCATGAGAAATGCCCTGTCCGTGTAGCACAAACTGCACCCCTCTTGCTGGTCATGCAATACAAATTTTTTTAGAGTCCCAAAACAGCATGACAAGTTGCAATCTTCCAGACCCAGACACTTTTGCAGTTGATACAGCGACCACACCGGCTTCGTGGAATTGTCGAAATGGTCTTTGTTTTATCGAGTCGGAAAAAGTATCGCAGTCGTACTAAGGTAAGTAATTGCAGTTTTGCATGACAAACCTTCTGTCCATAAGCTGAATCAGCATGCTAAATGGTCGTGTCATCCTCGAAAATGCAATTGCAATTAGATGAACACGATACGTTTGCAGAATGCGTATTCGACTCCCGGAATTCGGCGCGGGTTTATGTTCCTTTCTGAGGGAGCAATTCGAGAGCGACCGGACCGTGCCACCACCATTGATGTTTCTCATGTGCTGCTGTTGCTGAAGAAAATTATCGCTATTACTCGTCCCCATTTGATGTGCTGCGCGGGGCGGCGATAAGGATCTCGCGTGGTCGTGCAGCGCCGGCAGTGAAGCATTGGCGTGAAGAGGACCCCCACCGGCGTTGATGGTCATGCTACTGCCACAAGAATTAGTAGAACTGAAAGTTGTACAGCTATCCGGTGGCGGAAAATGAAGCGGGGGACGTCTTTGACTCACAATCCCGTCCCGCGTAAGAGGAGCTGCGTGGAGGTCTCGGATTCGGCCAGCTGGGTCTTCTAGAGCTACCTGACCACGCGTCATGTCACCCCCCACGGGCGGTGGTCCTCCAGCTCCTCCGATCATGCTGGGCGTGACACTCCCGTTCGAACAGCTGCGCAAACTATCAAATGGAAAAATCCCCCCACCCCATATCGAAAACGAAACTTGTTATGCTGTATTTGAGTACACAGATCGACTTGTAATGCTAGAAGGCCAAGAGCCGCAGTTGTGGCCTCGTTTGCAGGCAATTTGTCATGCTGTTTCCCACTTCCAGTTGCTTCCTGTCATGCTGAAGATGCAAGGCTTCCCCACGCCACCCAGCACTACAGTCCGCATCTTTTCCCTTCTAGCATGATAAAGCTGATTTGTGACTGCAAATCTGCATCACAGATTTCCGTTTTGATATGGGGAGGGGGGATTTTTCTTCTTGATACAAACTCGCGGACTTCGACACCGTGAAGTTGTTCGGCGTGGGAAATTATGCATTGCAAATGTGTCTGGGTCTGGAAGAATGCAAGATTTGTCATGCTTGTCTGGCATGACTCTGAGGTCTGTGATGCATACGCACAAAGCGCTTCTCTTGCCTGTCATGCAAAAACGCCATTTGCCATGCGGAATACGCAACAGATGGCAGCTGAAAAATTTGTCATGCGTGGCTGCCCATTCAAGTGCGCCCATCAATCGCAGACTTGCATTACAAGTTCCCAGACCCAGACATATTTGCACTGCATAGAAAGAAAGCGCCAGTACTTGGCGTGGTACCACCACCTCCACAGCTAGTTGTCGCAGTAGTACCTCCTGGTCGTGCACCTCCGACGACCGCGCTGCCCATATCCAGGCGGTGCATCAGCCGCATCTCGCGCCGCCGCTTCTGTTGCTGGTGCCGACGGTGGGTGGGGTGCATCGACAACATGTTCGGCTGGTCAGGCTGATATTAGACGAAGAAAACCAATTTGGCACCATGCGGTCGTCGCACAAGGAAATAAAGGAAACAAGAATTTGAGTGCAATGAAAGTGTTCTACTTCGCAAGACAATGTCTTGTCTAAAAATGAAAATCGACAAAATCCTATAAGTACCTCCTCCAGCCCAGTCGCAACCGGGAGTCGGTCGTTCGGTAAATAGTGGTCCAGTGCGGACGCACGGGGCATTGAAGATGTCACGGTCCCTCTCCCCCCGGATAATTGCAAATAGTGGTGGTGTCGTCGTGCGTCAGTACAACTACTGGTAGCAGGACCCAGTTGCATACTACCAGCACTGTTGTTGTTGAACTCGGTTTGTTGTTCCTCCATCGGGATAAACTCGTCATTCGAAACGAGGTCGTCATCCTCCTCGTTGTCCTCTTTTTCCAAAATCGCCGACCTGTGAAAGCTGTTGTCGTTCTCCGAAGAGGAGCCCCCTGCAGCTCCACCACCGGATTGCAACAGGTGCTCGTCTTCGTCATAATCCTGTGCAACTCCAGACGCCATCGGGATCCGATCTTCATGAGTTGTTCCGGGGAATGAACCTGCCACTTCTGTCGCGCGGGGCACTGTTGAAAGTGAATAAACAAGATCATATGCTGAAGTAATTCGCAATGAATTATCGCTTCAACAACAAACAAACCGAGCATGACAGAAACTCTTCTACTTGAACATACATACGCACAGTAAAGAAAAACGACAAAAACGTCGATTGTGTATCTATTGCAATACTGCTCGAGGAGCCCTCATCCACCCTTCCAGCACAGGCGTCATCCACACCAATCGGGCTGATTTCTCGGCTACTGGCGAAAGAACTGTCTCCGAGGACGGAGCTGGCCGCGTACCCACTGGCAATGTCCGCGCCATGCGCGATTGTGGTGTCGTTTTCGTTTCCGTAGCGGCCAAATTCGTCCGGTTGGTTCAATTGATCCAAGTTTGGCTCGAAGTCGTCATCGAAATTGTACTCTTGGTCCTCATCTTCCTCCTGCTGCTTGTGATTGTGATCCCCCTGCTCCCGTATCGCAGATTCAGTAGTGGTCTTAGCAGGTCCACCCGACGATGCAGTTGGATATGTACTACTAAAGGGATTCACTTGTGGGGGCCCGACGTCGGGCCTAGTAGTAGAAACTTTTTCATTGTGAAGACCCTTCGACGTCGCAGAATTTGTGTTCACCATCGTGGAGGGCCCAGCTGCACCACGGCTTAACAGGAGCTCCGGCAGAGATAATTGATCGTTCCGCGATGAAGTAGGTTCTTGACAACTTCTACCGTGTAGTGGACCAGCACCACGTTCATCTTGTCGCGGGACCATACTTTGCGGATTTGCCCCCACGACCTGCTTCCTCGCCTCCGCCGGGCGATCCGGTAGCTCCTCCACATTTTCTGCGAAAAGATTCCCGTTTTGGTCGAAATAGGGCAAAAATTTCACATAGAAAGAAGTTTTTTCAATTTGATCGCCACATAATTTATTTTTGCCAACATCAAGAAACGGCAAATCTTCGTCGGGTGAAACGTAAATCCGCGCGCCGTGAAACAACACCTTCGTCAATTCGACCTGGATCTCTTTCAGGGCGTTGATTTTGGGGGTTGGTGATGAAGTACTTGTTGGCGCGGCAGAAGCAGCGGCAGTACTTATCCTGAGCAAAAACGTACCCACACCAGAGTCAAGATGGGGATTTTGCAACACAAACCTAGGAGTTTTGGGAGTCACGCATGACAAGTTGAGCGCTGCAGTGTAGTGCAGGTTAGCAAGTGCAGCCGCATCACAAATCCAGCTGCTCATCCTGTTCACAGCATAACAAATTCCAAAACACGATTGGAAATGGCTCTCATAGGGATGCGCATTACAAGTCTTCCTGTCTTTGCAAATCTGCATTACAACTCTGGCGTGGGTACGTTTTTACTCAGGATAGTACTACCTTCTGTGTCGATCCGCCCCAACAGCAGCTCCTCAAAGTTCATCCCGTTGTACACCTTCACGCCCGGTCGCGCTTTTTGCAGCGTATGCACTGCAAAAGCATCGTACTAGTATAAATTACTTAAAAACTGCATTACAAATTAGCCCAGCTGCATTACAAATTGAATTTGTACTGCTGGTTTCCCTTGAGATTTGTAATGCATAAGTGCAATTACTACGAGTACGATGCTTTTGCAATTCATACAGTAAGTGGTCGAACAATTCCGGCTGGAATTGGTAGATCTGTTGCACGACGGCAAAAGGGTAGAATCGCTTGTGCAGGATCTCCGTTGTTTTGCTTTCTGCAGCAGCAGTGTCCACCTGATCTTCGCCGTTGTTTCCTTCTACTTGTACTCCCGCAGTAGTAGATTGCGCCGGGACCCGCAGAACCTTCTCCACCACGGGGAGCAAATGCAGCCCGAACGCCTTCAGCTCCGCCCGTTTCTTACTTTTATCTCCTCGCGCTTTGTGGCTATTGTTTCTCCGCGGACTTACGACTGCCTGCTTGTACACCTGGAAGCAGACCATACTGTGCACCGGGAGCTTGTACTCGCAACCGGTAATGTTCTCGAACTTTGCCTTATGACAGTGCACAACCCCCCCTCCGCCTCATTTGTAATATAGCATGGACAGCAATACAAACACCACGACACGTGGAGCCTATGCATGACAAATTTATGCAGCTGATGTAGTACTGTTTGGGCTTCCGGATGAATTTGTCATGCAAACAGTGCCACAGGGCAGCGACTGGATTTGGGGTTTTGCATGACAAATGAGGGGGGGGGACGAGGGGTGCACTCTCATACGCCTCCTTGATGCCGTACTTCTGCTCCAGCGCGGGGCAAAAAATTTTTCCGAATTGAAATTTGTTCGCGAAGCTATTCTGCTGTACGTAGGGATTGTTCTGCTGCAGGTGCTGGGGGTGCGGAGGCGTGTTTGGATCCTGGAGGCTGTGGTGGTCCTGGTGTTTGCAATCGATGATGGTTCCGAAGTAAAGCGTTGGCTCGGGGAGGTCAACCGGCATGATCAGCTCCGCCGGCGGGATAATGATGTTTTGCGGCGGAGGGGGGGGAGAATTGTTGTGTCCTCTACAACTCCCGCTGATTGTACTCATCGGGTTCACCAGCTGCTGCTGGTGGTGGTGGTGCTGGTGCCCCGCATGGCTCGGCGGGTTGTGCCGAATGCTGCTCGGCGGGGGAAAAATTTGATGTGGCGGGGTCGACATGATGGTCTGTTTGATTTTTGCGCCGTGACGCGAGTCCTCGTCTAGAGAACCTCTACGACCTCTTTCGTCCTCGTCCGCGATGGGAAATACACAGAGTTTGCTTCTGCAAACTGGGAATCGTTGGGGCCGGCACCTCCGGCAGGCGTTTTTACTGGCTATCGCTTTTTCTTTGCGTTTCGCCAATCGATCTGCTTCCTAGTGGAGGTCCACGTACGGTCACGGCTATTCTTTTTGCCCGTAGAGATGTTCGCCGATGTAAGTAAATTTTGTGCGGACGAGTAAAACTGTCAACTCGTCACGAAGGTCGGAGGGAAATCGGCCTAGCAAATGTGTGGCTTCTGAAACGCGCTCAAAATGTCCACTACCATGGCCATGGGGTGCCAGGCTGCGATAGGGAGTGGCGCTTTCGAAGTGTTTCTTTTGCCTCCAGAGCCCACATCAAGAAACACAAAAAGAAGACGCGCAAATTGGACAAGTTCCCAGCTGCAAGCTGCCAGAAAAGGACTCAATTAGCGGCCAGGCACAAATGCGAGGGCCTAGGGCGGAAGGTCACCGGGCCCCTCGGGCCAGACGGCAGCAAAAGGCGCAGCGGTCTTGTTCAACAAGTCTCGCCTGACAGGCTTTTTCAACAAGTTGGGGCCGCCAAGTTGCAGAAAAAGCTCCTCTTTTCGTTTCTTCGCAGCTATCGCAACAAAGAAGCCGGCTTGCACCCAACCGCGCCCCCAGCTGCGCGCCCAACAATAGCGAGGAAGCATCGCCCGAGCCAAAGAAGCCAAGTCAGACCAAGCGCGCGCACTTGCTCGCGGCAATCATTTGGAGGCCTTTTTCTGCAACTTCGGGCCGCCAAGTTTCAGGAAAAGGCCTCTTTTCCCTTTTCCGGGCGCTTCGTGCTCTCTCCCATGCCGGCCAGCCCCCGCCAGCAGGGCGGGGGCGCCGGTCTTGAGTACTTTCTGCAGCAAAACACACAGCGCGGCCTTTTTCTTCAACTTGGAGCTGCAAAAGTACAGAAAAAAGCCGTATTTTCTGTTGTTCAAAAAAGCAGAATGTCTGTGGCGCAAAAAAAGGCAGTCGAATTCGGGAAGAAAACGCGCAAAAAAATGAACACGCTCAGACAAGCAAAACGTCCAAAAAGTGACACGCAGTTGACACGCAATTGAGTCCAAAAAGTGACACGCAGTTGACACGCAAAGTGATACGCAAGTGACACGCAGTGCGTGTCACACTGCGTGTCACACTGCGTGTCACTTATGTACCGCATTGCGTGTCACTGCGTGTCACCAGAATATAGTGCAAAAAGTGACACGCACTCAGTGCGTGTCACCGTATACCATCGGGGAAGACCAAAACCCAACAGGCGTTGTCTCTCTCCTGCACGGTATGGTAGTGACACGCATCTAGTGCGTGTCAGTGCGTGTCACTTTTTGCACCTAAATCTGGTGACACGCACCGACACGCACTACCGAATCGCTGGTGGCGAGAATACAGGCGTGAAGAGTGACACGCACTTGACACGCAGTGAGTGCGTGTCACACAATACCGTCGGGGAAAGATATTTCCAAAACTTTGCAAAACCTCTTCCCGGTCTGTAAAAGTGACACGCACTGACACGCACTCACTGCGTGTCAATTTACAGAGCGGCTTGACAGTGCAGACTCGTCAAAAACGAGATACAGGCTGTGTTTGGCGAGTGCGTATCAGTGTGCGTGTCACTCTGCGTGTCACTTTGCGTGTCAAAAAAAAGGCGTAGTGCGTATCACTCTGCGTGTCTGAAAGCGGACGAGTAAAACTGTCAACTCGTCACGAAGGGGGTTTAATGTCCCGCAGAATATTTTTACGCATAGAAGAGCAGCAGCTACTCGTAGTACTTACTTTATACACACAGCCAAAGCTGCTGGTGCTCGTCTCTCAAGAAGTGTGTGGTCGCGTGAAAAAATACATGAAAGACAGCTCAAAGCCTCCTCCGGAAAAGCAAAAATTGTTTTTTCTTTACTTGATGTCGTAAAACTTTTTGGACTCTGCAGAACTGCACTCTATACTTTCTCTCTCTTCCGTTCCAGATTTTCATAATAAATCTCTAATCCAAGAACTGCTACTGCTGTAGGTCCATTCATTTCTATAGTCGATTTTTGTCCTCTACTCCTGAAAGCAAATGTATCTCGACGCTGCGCGGAAAGAATGACAAATGGAAAAGGGCCGACCACTGCGGACCGGCTCTAGTATGTGGCACAGCCCGGAAGGAGGTGATAAAGATGATCTCAAAAGATGAAGAATCGTGAGATATGACGTGCTGGCACTAGCATCAAACTACCACACTGTAATTGTGCCACGATATTATCTCTCTCGTCGCGACCACTCAGCGCTGCAACATGATTAGGTGCCTAGCGCTGCGAGTCAGCAATCGTTGATGCCAGCGGCCGCGGGGCGGTTTCTAGATTGACACGTATCTCGGGTGAAGAACGTTAACCTTTCTGTTTCTTCGCACTTACTTACAAATAGTACCTAAAGCTAAAACCTCTACTTCGCACAGCTAGCCGCTTTTGCGTCTCTCAGATAAACCTTGTATCACTGCAGCTCTTTGTTCTTCCACCACCCATGAGCAGCTTTGTTCGTCTCAACAAATGTAATGATGTCTGTGGTGCCTAAATTCAAAGGATCTTCTCGTGTGCCATCTTCTCAGTTCGCTTTTCTCAAGGTGTGCAGCTCTTCATCTGCGCTGGTCTCAAAAAATGAACGTTTTGAAATAAATCACCGTCAGCACCAAAACTCTTTTGCGCTAGTATTATGCAGCAGCACATCAGAACCAGAAGTACAACCAGAGTTGTTCTTGTGCCAGGAAAAAAGCTTAAAAAATGGATCTTGCTCTCGAGGTGAAATTCTTGACTCAGCTTGTTCGGCGCTTTCGCGACAGAGACGCCTCTTCATCCGCTCCAGGCAAAAACTTCTGTGTGCTGCTGGATAGTGCTCGATGTTTTCATCAATCGGTCTAACTGTCTTCAACTGGTGGATCATGCGCGGAAGCTGCGACCCCTTAATACTTGTTGAACAAGTTCAACAGATACAGTTCAGCGCCGCAAAAGTTAGATCTTTCTGTTCTCGAGGAAGTGACTCATCTTATCAATGGATCAACGAGAGTACTAGCATCTAGCAGCACTTCTACTTCTCTCTCTGTAGACATCGGTAGTTGTCGCGAGATGGAATCTCGTTTTCAGCAGCAGCCACGACCCTGAACATATTGCATCACTCGGCTCCTCGTCCTAAGTTAGCAGATTTAGGGCAGAACACATGTAGTTTCAAGCTTGTTGTCTTCTACAGGACGCCACTTTGCACTCTGTTGGCCGCTATTCTATACGCGACCCAGAGTTATTACGGCACGCACCTGGGTTACGGTTATCATTTCATTCAAATGCCTTCATTCAGAAGTTTCGGTCTGGATGTTCTTCATCATCTCTTTCATAAAAGCGTGTTCATTTTTTTTCTTGTCCGAGGCACAACAGTTGTGCCTTCTCTGATATTCTATCATCCCCAATAGAATAAACTCATCACCCAGATTATCGGAGCTTGCTTGTCGTCGTGAAATTCTTTCAAGAACTCTAAAATGCCTCGGGAAACAGCTGCTGCAGCTGCGCTATCGTATCTTCCGGATCTTTCACCGTGTTCCCCTTCACCCGCTTATCCGAAAAGATTTCAAAATCGTTGCCGCCCTGGAACGTCTTGTCTCCGAAAAAGTAAATCTTCTCGTATTTGTCTTCGAGGTACTGCAGACAGAAGGTCTTGTCCCAGCCTAGTAAAAATTTCGGAAAATTGCTTGGCAGTTGTAGCCCGATCACGCCCTCATATGCATTGCAAACTCAATCATATGTTCATGCAGAAACTACAGCAGGAAGATAGAATTATTCGTATTCCACCGAATTTTTTTCCCGAGTTGAACTTGAAGTTGTACTCTTTTACTATGCAGCGTCTGTACTACTATCAAATCACATACCGTTCGGAAACACGTCGAAACTTATTTGTCCCCCGATGCTGTAAGTGAGGCCGAAATCCGCAAATTCCTTCTTCAGAGTTTCCACGAATTTCTTCCTTATGTCGTTTGCAAGACAGAACTTCTCAAACTCGTTGCGCTCTGTGGTGTTGTTGATTTCAAGAAAAAACCGTTAATCTCATTCGTTGTACTGGAGAGGCACATGGGGAAAGGATCATGTTTTGAATTTGACGTCATGCAGTAACGCAAACCTACTACTAATATGTTCACACTTGGAGAACTCCCCTTACCTTCCCTGCTGCAATTCCTGCCTATCGGGCTGACGTTGAGCATCCCCGTTCTGAATTCAATGAATGTGCCCCGCTTCACGGGTAAATCCAGGTCCGCAATTATCCGCTGCAAATGTGTTCGGGTCTAGAAGGATGCAAACTTGTGATGCGGCCTCAGGATCCTACAAGTACAAAAATCTCTCTTGCATGAACATCACAAGGGGTCCATTTTGTGCTACGAGAAGAGGGCATTTTTATGCGCTATAAGCATCAGAAGCTCCTGCAGCATCTGTGATGTTGCTAGAGAATTATGCATCATCGGTTTTCGAAAATATGCATGACAAACCTGGCACTTCTCCAGACCTCCCAGACATATTTGCAATGCATAGCGATGTAGTGGAGGCAAAAGTTTATCAGCTTCTTCAGCTTTTCTTCGCCTAAGAATTCTGCGAACGATGTTTCCTTCATGGGTTTGCCGTTCTTGTACGCGACAACCCCGTTCTCTGCGAAGTTGTAATCGAACATTTGCAGAGTTGTCGGCCCGAGTTGCTTATCAACTGGAAAAATGTCTGGGTCTGGAAGAATGCAACTTGTGATGCTGTATTTAGATTCCAAAAAAATGTGTATTGCATGAGTGGCAAACGGAATGCAATTTTTGCTACGCTGAGAAGGCATTTGTCATGCGGAATAGGCATCAAGAAGCCCTCAAAAAATCTGTATTGCTAGGGTATGCATCACAGACATCATGGCTCATGCAAAACGTGCGTGACACGTGTCGGAATCTTCCAGACCCAGACATTTTTACAGTTGATATTGCTCTTTCTGCTTCGGCAAGTCACTCCCGCCAACCACGCCGATGTTGACTTTTTGTCTCAATTTCTTGAGCGTGGTCATCATCGGCGGCTCAATCGAGAGCCGCGGTTTTGTTAGGGTCCCGTCGACATCGAAGAGGACAATCGTGTCCGAGGGCGTTGTCACGTTTTCCTGATCTGCACCGTCCGTCATTTTTGCCATGACACTAGCAAGGCAGCTCTTGCTTGAAGATTTTATTCCCGAACTTCAGCGAGCTCCTGTGCGAGGAGTCTTGTTCTATTGGGTGGAAATTGGTAGTGCTACTGCTGTTGGGGAACAAGCAACCGTAGCGGACTGACGTGCTTGGGCTGAGTACCCCCACGACACCGTCACGCGCTAAAAATCCTATTTCTAGCAGTAGTCCTTACGAAAGTGATGTAATTCCTTGTTTAGTTCAGTATCTGTGGATGTCTCTTTCTTCCTCTAGATCCTTCAAAGAGCTCCTTCTTCGGACAAAAAGATGGATCGGTGGATCATTCTGTAGGACAATCAGAAGGCCGGTCGTACGACCCGTGGAACTACACGGATAGACTTCTGTGGAGCATAAATGAACAGAGACATGACAAAAAAAATTTTTGGAAAGATCAGACCTGGAGGATGGCTCGCGTGGCAAGAAGAACAACAGCTGACTACTAAAAAGCACAAAAAGTTCTACGCCGCGGCCCGCGCGTGGTTTATGTAAGCATTACACACTGCTCGCCGCCCTCCGTCTCGCTGCAAGGAACGATCTGTCTCCCGCTGCAACGGTCGGCGAGCCTGTTAAAAACTGGGGCGGCTGTATTACCGCGCACGCCCCTCCCACACCCGCCGCCGGCCGCACCCGCGTAGGGGCCGCCGGCGCCTCCGGAGGCGCCAAGCAACAAGAGGGGCGCCGCTATGCCGGCCGAATGCGGGGCGCCACGAAAAGGAAGGCCACGCCGCCCAAAAAAAACTGCCCCCCCGCCATGCTGGTGCGCGCTGGCGCGGCCTGCCTTAAGACACGGAGCGGCCCTGGAAGCCGGGGGAGCCGCCTTGCATGCCAAGCCCCCCGCCTAGCCGGCGAGGCTCCCCCGCTGCGGCGGGCCCATGGCCTAGCTGCTTTGCGGCTGGCTTGTCGGCATTTGTTGGCCAAACTGCTGGAAAGGATTTTGTTGCTGTTGGCGTGGGCGCTGGACCGGGCTGCCCTACTGCTGGATCTGGGGCGCCGCCCTTCTCTTCGCCTTTGCCACGGCAAGAACCTGCCGCGGCTCACTTCGTCGGGCTGCCCAGCAAAGTGGCTAGGGTGGCGCGATTTGGGCTGCCACGCTGGCCAAATGGCCAAGATGGGCGGGCGCCGGGCGGCCCCGGCCCATTGGCTTCGGCCACACCGAGCCCGGCCCAGGACGCGGGCGCGCCACCTGCGCGGCAGCTGGCGCAGCGCCCCGGGCGGTGCGCGGACTTCGCTGGGTCATATTCGGACGCGCCCCCGGCGTAATAGTCTGCGACAGGAACGCCAAGTCGTAGGATCTGGAAGAGTATCAAGACCGCCAATGGGTCGAGAATGGTCTTCGGGCGGTCAGTCTACATCTTCGAACGCCGGTTCCTCCTGGCTCTTGCCCTGCGAGTCTACCATGTTCGCGAGCCGCCGGGCGCGTCAAGCGCCGCGCGCGCCCTCGCATGCGGGCCGCCTCCTTGCGGGGCTTTCGCTGGCGGCGTCGCCCGGCGGCCCGAGTGGGGGCCGTGGCTGGTCGGGTCGCGGCGAACAGGCAGGCAACGCCGCCCATTGGCCCGGCAAACACATGCCGCCCGGCCCCCCGCAGCAGGGGCGGCCGGCGGGCTTCCTTTGTTTCTGTCCGGCGCGACCCAAAATTTCGCCAGCGGGGTCGAGGGGGTGCCGAAGTCTGCGCCACTTCGCATATTTTGACGCAACCAGCGCCAGCACGATGGCGAGGCGCGCCGGCCCCCGCCCGTCGCTCTTGCGGCTGCCGTCCGGCTGCAGGAAGCACGGCCCGACTTGCTTGGATAGGTATTGAAGGCGCTCAGGGGCACAACATGAGGGCGCGGGCGGTTCAGCTTGAAGGCTCTAGCTACTTACCGCGGGTGCCTTCCCAGGGCTCGGGCCGGCGGTTGTTATGAAGAGCCGCAAAGGCCGGCACGCAAACGAGGCGCGGGCCCAGTCGGCAGCCCATCCACGTCGCCTTTTGCGCGACAGGGGCGCCCTTCCTCCCGTATCTCGTAACCCGAACGCGCCATTTCTCGGCGCCCTGCCGGCCCTGCTTCGCAGAATACTCGCAGGGGCGGCCTCTGTTTTGTTTTTGCGAGAAATGTGGGCGCCGCGAGCCCTATCAGTGCCTTGTGGACCGTTACGCCATTCCGAAGCCGCGCCGCTGTACTCGCCGCAAATATGTTCTCCCGCTCCTTGCACACACGACTGCTCTCCGCAGAAACTAAAACTCAAACCACACACGGAGCTTTCGCGGTTCTGTACTATTTGCACCACGCCAAGCCGGTCCGTAGAATTGATAGTACATATTAGGTCGTATACAGTTTTTTCTTCATCGTTTGCGCATCAGCTTCAACACGCTTTTACTTTTTTCGTCTTGTACACATACAGGCTACTCTTACTTTTTTCAGTTTGCAAGCAAAATTCGACGCGTCGTGAGTAGTAATGCGGCGATACGTTGTAGAAAGCCGGCTAAAAATTTGCGATACATTTTTTCAAACATGATATCTGTCAGCAGTAGAAGCATATCGATTTCCGAGCCGCGGAGGCAAGTGTACATCATTGTCAAGAAGTGAAACTTAATTTGGTCGTGTAGAACATCTTTGATAAGATTTAGCAATTCTTACAGGCGAATAGATAAACTTCATAAACAATCCGAAATGAAGTTGATAAAATTTTTCTCGGTATTAAGCGTTCTGTCTGATACTCATTTCTGATGGATGAACAACATCAGCATTTTCTCGTCCTCATCTGTCAACCTTTCCCTTTCACGCTCCTTCCTCCCCCGCTCCCGCTCCCGCCGCAGCCGCCGCGGCGAGAAGTTCTTTTTGCTTTTTCATCGACCCCCTCAAGTTTCGTTTCTCGAACACCACGACAGGGGCGGGGGCTTTTCCTTCTTCTTCCGCCGCTAGTAGTACCGCCGTCGTCTTCATCTCCGCAAACGACGGGCCGTGGAGGTTCTCCAAAAACGAGGCAGCTGTCGATGGGGCCGTCGTGGCAGCCGGTGCTGGCTGCGCCACTGTCTGCGCTGGTTGCTGTTGTTCCGTAGGAGTGCTGGCGGTGACCGCAGCCTTGTCTACAACTTTTTCCTCTTCTTCTCCCCCGGCGCAGGCCGCGGCACAGTCCCCGCAACCACAGCTGGGCTTCTTCCGGCGTTTGAATCTTCCGTCGTCATAGTTCGGGTCGTTCGGATATCATTTGGAAAAACGTCCCCACCTCCCCAAAGCTGTAATGCAAATCTGCATGCTGAAAACTTTTCTCATGCGGAGTAGACCTCCCATGAGAAGCAGTTTCTATTCGGTGTTTTGAGATTTGTGATGCTTGAATCAGCATAGAAGTATGCTGGTGGATCTGTGATGCGGTTGCACCAGCTGAATACGATCAAACTCCTCGCCCAAATTTGTCCTCCGCAACAGCCGAAGCCTGGCGATTTGTATAGCAGATTTCCCATCTTGACTCTGGGGTGGGGACGTTTTTGCTCACCATATCGGATCGTTCGTCACGGCAAATCCGCGTTCGTTCACGCTTATCAAATGCAAAAGTATCTGGGTCTGGAAGGTGGTAACTTGTGATGCTGTCTTTGGATTCCAAAAAAATCTGTATTGCATGACTAGCAAAAGGAGTCCATTTTGTGCTACACGGGGAGGGCATTTCTCATGCGGAATAAGCATCAGGAAGCCTTCTAAAAATCTGGGGTGCTAGGGCATGCATTACAGGCGTCATTGGTCATGCAAAATATGCACGACAAACCTGGCAATCTTCCAGGAGACCCAGACATTTTTACACTTGATAACGCTCGATGTCGTGTTTCCCTTTTTCTGTTCCTCCGCCGGTGCAGGTGACGCGGCGGGTGGCGCGTACGCCTCCACAATCCCGCTGTTTTCCTTCGCGAGCTGCGCCTGGGAACTCGTGATGCATTGCAAATATGTCGTGTGGGTCCTGCTCTGGAAGATCTCTCATGCGAGATGATTTGCAAGACATAACTACCAGATCTGAATCTGTAGTGCATGAAACGAAGTCGCGACCTCTTTTGTCATGCAGAACCAGACATATCTACATTCCATACTCGTCCCCAGCGGCACTTTCGTCTCGGCAATCACGTTCAGTTCCTCGTCGAGAGAAAGCATGGAGAGTATGCAATACAAATATTGTCCCGGCGTTTAGGTACAAATTGCATCACAAGTTCAACTTCTGTTTCTGGCAAAAAGTTCTACTACCCAAAAAAAGCTGCTCCTATGCATCACTTTGTAATGCTGCGCAAGGCAGCAGGAACACAATGAAAGACGTTGTCATGCAAGATGTGCCCGTGTCTGGAAACAACAGATGTTCGCCGGCCTAGAGACAGAAGTCGTGCTACTCGGCAGTTCCTCCTGCGTGTGGTCGTCGCTGGGAGCGGTGATCATGGAATCCGCAGGACTTATTTCACTCGTCCTTCCCAAAGATGAGGTCTTCACACGTTTCGTTATCGTTTCCAGCACAGCGCTTCTCGCCACATCGGACAACGAAGATGGGGCAGTGAAAATTTTCGCAGACGGCGGTTCTTCACCCTCTAAAGCCGTCGCGGACAGGAACGAAGAGGAGGCCGCCGCTGCCTCTTCGTCGTCATCTACTTCAGTGGCCGGCACGGCTTCTTCTTCTGTACTACTAGTACTCTTGTTTATTTTAGCGCTACCGCCCTCCTCCGACATGTCCATGGGCCCAGACTTGGGATCGGAATCGCAGCAGCCACCCGTCGTGCTAGCACTGGTCGTACTACTACCCTCCTGCTTTTCTTCCTCCGCTGGTTGTTCTTCCTTCGGTGCCGTTTGTTCGGGGAGTCGTGGGGCAATCTCGGCTGCGTCGGGTTGTTCTGGTTCCGCGTGGCTGCGTTTCTTGCTTTGCATCTTCAACATCTTCTTCGCCTTCCACCTGGCAGTCGCAGTTTTTTTCCTTCCGGTCGTTGTGGCCAAAAAGCTGCTACTACTGGTCGATGCTGCTGCGTCTTCCTCCTCTTCCTCGTCTTCTCCCTCCTCCTCTTCGTCGGACGGTGGCTGTTTCTTTTTTTTCGTTTTTGCAGACGACTTTGAGGGCCGCTTATCTACTTCCTCTTCATCGGACGGGGGCGGCTGCGTCACCGGTGTGTTGCCACCGCAACAGGAGTTCAGGCCCAAAAAATCGTCTGCGTACATAACGTCGGGGTCTGAGTCTTCGCTTTCTTCTTGTTTATTGTTCCCGCCCTTTTTGCCGCCTTTGTTTGCTCCTTTTTTCGGAGGAGCGGCCTCATCTTCCTCCTCCTCACCACCACTGTATTCGTCGTTGCCACCATCATCACTTCCACCCTCATCCTCCTCCTCGTCGGACGCCTCCTGCTTTTTCTTCTTTGCCGGCTCTTGTTTCATCTTGTTTCTCCCCTCGGAGGTAGCTAAGAACGACGACGCGGCGGAGGGTGTTGTCGCACCAGCCGCAGAAGTTCTTGTCTTCGTATCTTCACTCGCAGTCGCGTTTCTGTTTGCAGTGTCACTCGATGTCGCAGAGGACGCACCATCCTCTTGTTCTCGTCCCAATACCGTCTTGAAGATAGCGTTCCCTTCACCACCACCTCCTTCCTTCCCCGGCTCCGGCACCTCGCCCGCAGCTCGTGGCTCCTATCGTAAGGAAACGTCCCCCCTCCCCATATCGAAAAGGCATGCCTATAGAGAATTTGCGATGCTGATTTGTGGCCACAAATCGCGTCTGTCTTGCAAGAAAGCAACGGCATAGGCTCCGCCCCATCATATGCAGGCGGTTTGTAATGCTGTTCGGCCTACAGCATAGACGTTCCTCATGCTAAGAGCCTAGGCCAGAACCTCTCTCCATTGGCATGGTATGGGCCTGCAGTCCTCTACTGCAAGACAGATCTGATTTGTGTACGCAAATCCAGCATCAGAGATTTCGTTTTGATGTGGGGAGGGGAGATTTTTCACTTTGATAATTCCTCCTGCTCTCCTTTACCCCGTCCTTTATTCCCTTCACCTTCATCGGCCTCTCCGCCGCCGCAAGAGTTACCTCCTCCGCAAGATCTACTTCCTCTGCGGTGCTCCGGATCATTGGGGTTGCCGTGCCCGTTCTTCCCTTCCCCCCCGAGGTTATCCTCGTCGTTCTGCTCGACGGCTTGCTTCATGAATTCGTCCGCTTCGTCGGTGTATGAATTGCAGAAATGTCTGGAAGATTGGAACTTGTCATGCTAAAACCAAATCATGCAAAAATCTGTGTTGCATGACTGCCAAAAGCTGTCCTCTTTTGACCAAGCTGGGGGGGAGTTTCTCATGCAGGATAGGCATGACAGAGACGTCACAGACTCTGTCATGCTCGGCCCTGCATTCCGAAACTCATGGGGCATGGCAAATATGCATGAGGAGTTTGCATTCTTTCAGACCCAGACATTTTTGCATTTGATACGGTGATCGCTTGGCGTGCAGTGTTGGTGGAGGTGGCGAGAAAAGACGACGAAGACGGCGGTGTTGCGGTAATGATCGTCTGGGAATCTTGTTTTTCATCCAGATTTTTTACTCCTCCCGCAGACTTCATTTCCTTCGGACTCCCCTGAGTTGACGTGTCTTCCTCCACCTCAGATTTATTTTCGTCCGGGTCCCCGCAGCATGAATCGAGGGATTTCGGATGCGGCCGAATGCGGTGGATGCGGCCGGCATCTCCAGCTTCGTTCGCCGCTTTATTCCCCCCGTCGCTGGCACCTGTCCCTTCGGCGGTCGCAGGCGGAGCAGCGGTGGACGGGGGCTGCGGCGGCCCAGAAGCAGTTTGTTGTAACGACGTTTGGCTGCTTTCCTGTTCTTGGCCTCTTTCTTGTAAAAACGACGAGGCGCCAGCAAGAACTCCTGTTTTCGTGTTTGCCAACGAGCTCCCGCTAGTGCGAGAGGTGGGCGGCGTCGAGGCTGTAGTTGTACTACTCCGACTTCTACTGCTTCCAGGAGGTGTGTGCAGAGGAGCAGCTTGTTCCTGTAGTTCCTTACCGCCCACCTCCAGTTCTCCCTCCTGCAAGAAAGATGTGGTCGCGGCGGCTGCGGAAGATGAGGAACTACTGCTCAGCATCACATGTTGGTATCCCGTCGCAGCTGGTGGACCAACTTGCAGGACGGCATTTGTTTTCGCCGGAGGCGGCCCACCCTCTTGGTCCACGATGAGAATCGGTTCGGCAGCAGGATGAAGCACCGGTGCGTTTCTTGCCGACCCAGCTGGAGGGGAGGACACTCCAGCTGCGCCGGCTCGTCCTGGTTGCGCCAGCGTTGCTTCTGGCACCGCTGCTGCGGTCGTACCTGGCCCCGCTCCTCCTGCTGTGTTTGCAGCCGCACCAGCCACGGGCTTTTCCATCGGTGCGTCTAGTGGGAAGAAGCCGCCGCAAGACGTCTCTCCGTCTCCGCCACAGGGTGTTGAGGCGGGCTTCGGCGGCGTGGCCGTTCGTGTCTGCTGCTGGGCCACCGCAGCGGCTTGTTTTGCCCCGGCCCGCGGGTCCCCCACCAGCTGGAGCCCGCCCCCGTGTTGCGGGTTGTACAGCAGTGGACCACGTTCGGCTTGTAGCGCCGGCGCTGTTCTTGCCTCCCCGGAAAATAAACCGGATGGCATCTTCAACACGGGGTCGAGGAGCTGCAACGCTGGTCCACCACCTGTCGGCAACAGCGGGCTCATATGGGAGTGCCAGCATTGAAATCGTCAAGGTTGAAATTATAGCTTGCCATGCATAAACTGCAGCGCACAGAGTGCCTGTCTTGCAGAGTAGGTAAGTGAGGCAGATTGTAAGCCTGTTGAGGGCTAGAAGCTGAGCTGTAAAGTAGCATGACAAAAGGCGTCTCCCTTACCCAAACAGCATGAGGAGCTGCATTTTGGCTCTACCAAAATTTGCCATGCGCCACTTAGTATCTGGGTCACAACTTTCATCCATAACATGCATTACAAGTTATTCCAACTTTGTTGATTTCAATCCTGACACCCCCATAGCTCATCCCGGTTGAGTCTGACCCGCCGACCATGAAAACAGTGGTAGATTTCGAGTGTCCAATGACGTTATCAAAAAATGCAAAGAACATGTCTGGGTCCTCCTCTGGAAGAGTGCGGTAGATTGTCATGCACATTTTGCATGACCCATGATGTCCGTGATGCATGTCCTAGCATCTTCGCAGATTTATTTTTGAGGGCTTTTTGAAACTTACCTACCCCGTATGATGAGAAACAAAGGCCCTTGTTTCCGCGCAGGAAAAAGTAAAGTCTTGTTGTTGCTCATGCAATACAGGTTTTTTTCGAGTCCAGAGGTTGAAGCATGACAGGTTGCACACTTCCAGACAAGAACATCCAGGGATCAATATTTTTGCATTTCATACACATTGCCCTGTTCGTCCGTAATAGGTGTGTAGGATTCTTCGATCACACCCTGCGCTTTCGGTTCCTCGTTCGCCAGTGTCTGCAACTCTTCCGCAGGCGTGGGTAGCGTGTCTGCGGGGAAGAAAGGAGCCGACGAGGCAGGGGTGGGGAAACTACTCGGTGAGGCAGAAACTACGGTCCTCGTGGGCTCCGTGTCATCCGCTCCCAGCGTTGTCGTGTGTGGTTGGGCACGAATAGGATCTCCTTCTTGCGATCCTTGCGCCGACTGGAGGGGGTCTTGAGGTTCTTTCACGTCATTCCCTCCGGCCTCGGTTTGTGGTGAAGCCCCAGGACCACCTGGTACTGGTTATCAAATGCAAATCTGTCTGGGTCTGGAAGGGTGCAGACATTTGTGATGCAGTTTTTGCCTAGCCCAGATCGTCTGGCATGCAGGGCCTAGCATCACAAATTCCGAGCCGGTATCCCAATGCCTAATCCGCATGACAAATGCCCCGTTTTTCTTTTGTAACAGAAAATGGGGCCTTTTGCTGACCATGCATGACAGATTTTGCCATGATGTAGAATTCGCATCACAAATTCGAATCCATCCAGACCCAGACATATTTGCAACGCATACTGGCAACAGCGGTCCGATGAACGGCTTTCCGTTATCAAAAGGAAAAATCCCCCCTCCCCATATCAAAACGAAACTTCTGATGCTGGATTTGAGTACACGAATCAGCTTTGTATTGCAGGAAGGCATTGCGGTCAGATCCCCAAGCTAGGTAGGGGCGTATGCGTCTAGTTGCTCAGCATGGTAAGCGGCTCCCTTTTAGGTCCAACAGCATGAGAAATCGCTTCCATAATGGGGCGGAAGCTTCTGCCCTTGTCTTCTTGCAAAACAAATCTGATTTGTGACCTCAAATCAGCAACACAAATTTTCGCAAACATGCCTTTTCAATATGGGGAGGGGGGATTTTTCCTCTTAATATCCGTCTACACCGACCGGGCTATGAGAGTGCACAACCCCCCCTCCCCCTCGTTTGTATAGCATGAGCGGCAGTACAAGCACCAGCAAGAGTGCCGCTTTTGCATGAAAAATTTGCGCTGGAGTGTAGTTCTATTTGGGCTACCAGAACTGGTCATGCAAACAATGCCACGAGGCAAAGGGTGGACTGGGTCTTCTGCATGACAAATGAGGGAGAGGGGGGTTGTGCACTGTCATACGGGCGCGAAGATGTGTTCCAATCCCTCGTGGATCCTTCCGTTGAAGGAGGTAACAGCGGCCCGATGATATGGCCCGCTCAGGTCGTGTTACAATCTCTACTGTTCCAATAGAGTCTGGATTTCGAGTTTGTCTTGCAGGATGTTGAGCATGACAGACTCGCAGAGCACATTTATTCCACTTTCTGCAGTACAAATTCCGCCAGAAGATTCTAGTGCCGCGGTTTGGGACTCCAGAACTTGCCATGCGTATTCCTGTGAGCAGAGTAAGCCAGGCCAGGGCGTGCACTTCTTGCATGACAAATCCCCGTTTCTACGGTAACCGCGTCTATGAGATTGTAACACCAGCGCGGGTCATAGATGAACGGTTTGCCGTCTTCGCCGAGCGGGCGGCTCTCGACGTCCGGTTGCAGAAGTTGCGAAGATATGAATTGCAATAGTATCACACTCGTAGAAATGCACTACAAATTTCCTCTGCATGGCGAGAAATGCAATTTGTAATGCGGATTTACCTTAAGAAAATGATTTGTATTGCATGACTGCAACTACTAAAAACGGGTACGATACTTTTGCAGTTCATACACGACCCGCGACCACCTGCCGCCCCGAATAGAAGTGACGAATCACCTTCACCCGCTGAGATCGCGCCGTCTTCTTTCCGCAACTCGCTATCATCCAGCTGCGAGTTAGCGGATTTGTTCCTCTTTCCGCGTTGGTGCTTTTTCTTTTCGTGTCTCTGGTGTTGTTCTTCCCGCAACTTCCGCTGGCGCCTAGTGCGCTTTTTCTTCTCCTGCTTCTTTTCTTTCGCAAACCGGCGGGCTTCGGCGACGGCGCAGGGGTAGTTACTTGATGGAGTGAAGAGCTGCGAAATCGACAGACAGGTGAGCAGCAACGCTCCTGGCAACAGCACTCTACCTCCTGGCACCAGCTGCCGAAGGTAGGCGGCGGACGGGTTCAGGTCAGTGGGCATGTCAAAGTGTAAACTCTTTTGAAGTTGTTGCGCTTGCAATGGATCTTACGAAGGACAGTAGTCCTCCTCGTCCTTTCGTTTCACTTGGAGGACCTCCGGCTCAACCTCTATTTAATGTTCCAGTGTGTGCAGCTCTTTGGAAAAAATCAGTGCGTTTCAGCTAGATGAAATGGAAAACGAAAACAGATATAATTGGGAAACGCAAACAAAACGTGACGATTCACGATGCGAACGAAAGCGTTTCCCTCATCACTTTTCTCTCCTCGATAAACCGCGCCTGATTCAAGTGACTAAAACCATAATTCTCACTCGCCGCAGTCGAAACGGATCCGTCAAACATCAGACCACTGCAGGCGCGCGCTTAGACGACACAAGTTCGGCTACAAGAATGCGAGGATAGACTACGACGCGACAGGGTATTAAGTGGGGCCCCCTAATGGGGAACCCTAAACCCTGAAACCTAAACCAAACCCGGGGAGATCCCGCCGCGACGGATGCCCATCTTGTCAAGTGCGACAGGGTATTAAGTAATTTAGCAGTGGTTCTTGAAATCAACACTTCAGCTTTACTTATACTTTCACGGCCTCTTTTTATCTCCGCCTTGATGGACGACCGTGGAGTTCCATTCGATCTGATACTGATTTATTCTCTCCTGCCATATACAGAAGTTTTTCTGTGTTAATACATAAAATCGAGTTGTACTTTTTGCAACATGAATTTTCATCCACAATGTTCGGCCCTGTTTGACCGTCTGTTGGTCAAAATTCCGCTTCATAAAAATCCGATTTCTGTGTGGTTCTGAAAAGCCCCGGTTTACTACCTTGTCATACCAAAATACAATCAAACACGCGAGGCTGCTCGAAGTTGTGGAGGGTAACATTAATAACAAGCGACTCTCATTAGAAGAAATTACACCGGCGCGCGAATTCACATTTTGCTTTTTTGACGATATATTTTTTCTTTTTGTGTTGCTTAATAATGTAGTAGTATTTCCCTTAAGTGGTCGTCGTTGCTCGCCAAACAGGCTACGGACTACTTTTATCAGATGCAAATACGTCTGGGTCTGGGAGATTCCAACGAGATTTGTCATGCTAGTCTGGCATGATGTTCACTCTGAACTCTGTGCTGCGTCACCGCAAAGAGCTCCTCTTGGTCTTGCCTGTCATGCAAATAAAACGCAGTTTCTGTTTCTCATGCGGAGTACGCAACTCAAAACCACGAAAAAACTTGTCATGCTTGGCACTGGCAGTGCATTCGAGTGTGCGCACTATTTCCTTCCTTGTATCACAAGTTTCCAGACCCAGACATACTTGCAGCGCATAGCTTTGCTTTTGGTTTTGCCTCTACTACTACTTCTCACCACAGCGATGATTTTGCCTCAGAGTCTGCTTATCAGCATCTGTTCAAACGCAATATAGAAGTGTCAGAATCGAAATTGACAAAGTCGAAAAATTTGTCATGCATAAAATGGATTCCAAATCGAACCCAGTTTCTAAGTGGCGCATGACAAATTCTGGTGGTGCCTAAATGCTGTTTAGGCAAAGAAGACAGATACTCTCCTACTGCTTTAGCAGCTCGAGCTGTAACCCCAAACGGGCTTACAATCGGCCTCACTTGCCTGCTCAGCAACGCACGTATTTCGCGTCATGCATTTTATGCATCACAAATTTTTCGATTGTGTCAATTTCGATCCTGACGCCTCCATACGCAAAGCCGACAAAGTAACTCAGCGTCCCAGCCACTGCACCGTTCAACAGCGTGAAGAGCCCGTTTTGGCTATCCTGAGGAAAAAAAATCCCCCCACGTCCCCACATTCAACAGGAAAGAAATTTGCGACGCAGATAATTATTTGTGGCCACAAATCACCTTTTTTCCTATGCAAGAAGGCGAGCGGAGAGGCTTGCTCTGCCCCATTTTTCTGGAAGCGATTTGTCATGCTGTTGGACCCGCAGGGTAAGTAGCCCTTACTGCAATACAGACTGTATTTGCGTAGAAGTACGGAAATCCAGCATCAGAAACTTCGTTTTGAGAAATATGGGGAGGGAGGTTCATTTTTCAACTGGATAATGGAGGATTTTGTCCCAACTCTGCTTGACCAAAAACGCCGAAATCGCCCCGACGCAGAATAAAGCGACGGCGGAAACCACACACGCGACGATGTAAACGACATTGATATCCCGGTCCTCTTCTTCCCAAGCGAAGCCCAGCAGGTAGACGTACAGCGGCAGTGCGCCGAAGACCAGGAAGGACCAGAAAGTTGCTATTGTGAGGAAAAATCCCCCCTCCCCATATCGAAAACGAGATTTGTGATGCTGGATTTGAGTACACTTGTATTGCTAGAAGGCCAAGAGACGCAGACGCGGCCTCGTTTGCAGGCAAATTGTCCTGCTGCTTCCCACTTCCAGTTGCTTCCTGTCATGCTGAAGACGCAAGGCAGTATCACAAATCATGCTACACAAAAAATCTCCAGTTGAGTATGGGGAGGGGAGATTTATTTTCATTGTAATAGTTGCGACCCCGTTCTTGACCAGATCACACTCGGACTCGGTTTCGGCTTCTAAGTTCAGTTATCCTATGTAAAAACGTCCCCACCCCATAGTCAAGATGGGGAATCGGCTAGACAAGTCCACAAGTCTTGGCTATTTTGCATGACAAACTTGAACTCGGAGTCCAGTGCTGTTTGAGGTAGTTCAGTAGCATCACAGATCTAGTACATCATGCTGATTGGCGCATTACAAAACACGGCCAGAGAATGCTTCTCATGGGGCTCCGCATGACAAACATTTTGAGCATGCAGATGTGCATGACAACTCTGGGATGGGACGTTTTTACACAGGATATCAGCTCGTACCGCATCATGTTGTCGATGAAAAGATGCTATTAACTGCAAATCTGTCTGGGTCTGGAATAAAGGTTGAACCTGTATTGCGTGTTTCGCATTTTTCCAAAAAAAACTGTATTGCATAGTCAGCAAATAATAAAGCGCCACACTTTCGTCATGCAAAAACGCAGTTTGTAATGCGTCCTGCGCATGACAGAGCGTTTGAAAAGTTTGTCATGTTGCGCCGCACTTAAATGCACAGTCAGCCATGACCATTCAGCATTACAAGTTTCCAGACATCCAGGGATATTTGCAATCCATAGATGCTCGTATTTCCCCATAATCGCGACCAGTTGCTTCGCGTCGTCTTCCTCCATTTGCTCCCTTTCCCGCAGCATCTCCACCATCTCGGCCTTCTCTATAACGCGCTCAGCTGTTACAACCTCAAACGTTACAATAGAATCTGGAAATCTGTGATGCAAGAGTGCATGATCTAGCCGATTCTCAGGGGATTTTGCATGACAAGTTCCAGAGCCCCAAACCCCACTACAATCTGGCGAAATTTGTATTGCAAAAAAGTGGAGCGCTCTGCGAGTCTGTCATGCTCATCATGCAAGACAAATCTCAGATTCTATTGTAACGTTTGAAATTGTAACACCTGAGCGGGTTATACTCTCGTGCTCGGGTTTTTTCCGGAACTCCGTCACTTCCTTCTGCTTTTCCCCCTCGACGAAAGATTTCTCCAACTTTCCAGAGATGAAATCGCCAAACCCCATGGAGAAGCCGTCCGCTTATCCATTGCAAATATCCCTGGAGGTGGTCTGGAAGGGTGGAACTTGTAATGCGTGCCTTGCATTCCTAGAAAATCAGTGTTGCATCAGCAGCAAATTATAAGCAGCTTGTTCCCTTGTTCTGCAAAAACGCAATCTGCAATGCGCGTCAGGCAGCAGAAAGCGTTGTGGTTTCGAAAGTTTGTCATGCTTGGCTTCCATTGCACGCGTTGCAGTCATGCGCCATGCAGCATCACAGGTTTCCCGACAACATCCAGGGTGGATAGTTGCAGTGCATACCGCTAGAACGTTCGCAATTCCGAGTGTGACCGTGACCCCGTAGGAAAGGTGCGCCCCGTATCACACAGAAAAGAGCAGGCAGGTCATTTGTAATGCAAAAATGAATAAACAAAAAGGATTTGGATTGCATATCCCCAACAGTATGCCATGGGGCCGCCGATGACAAGTTTTTCTGTGTATCTGTATTCGTTTTTGCATTACAAACATGCCCTGCCAGCTTTTTTCTCTCAGATACCCCGTGGGCCGAGGAAATGATGGAAAACGTTGTGATCACGCCGTCAATATGCATGGCAAATATCCCTGGATGTCTGGAAGGTTGCAACTTGTCATGCTCAATCTGCAACATACAAAAATCACTGTTGCGCGAGTACCAATAAAAGCTGTCCACTTGTGACCAACTGCTCGACGAGAGGGAGTTTCTCATGCAGGATAGGCATGAGACATAGACCTTGCAAAATCTGCCATGCTAGGTCTGCACTGCAGACCTCACGGGTCATGGAAAACCTGCATGACAAGCTCTCCACTCTTCCAGACCCAGACATATTTGTGTTCCATAGTCGATTCCGCCGTAGACGGCAGATTTCAGAAATATCACACAGAAAAAAACTGGCAGGTCATATTTGTAATGCAAAAACAAATAGACAAAAAAATTTGCATTGCATATCCTAAACGGCATGCTATGAGGCCGCCCCTGACAGATTTTTCTGTGTATTTATTTTTGCATTACAAATCTGCCCTGCCAGCTTTTTTCTGTGGGATAAGAAACTGTGCGTTCTTGAGACCCGCGTGCATGGTTTCCAGATGCTGAGTATGGATTGCAAAAGTGTCTGGGTCTGGAAAGGATGTAACTTGTCGTGCTAAATCTGAATCATGTCAAAATCTGTGTTGCATGATTACCAAAAGCTGTCCACTTTTGACCTAATCGAGAGGCAGTTTCTCCTGCAGGATAGGCATGCTAGAACTCTCACAGAATCTGTCACGCTGTGTCCTACAAATTAGACCTCACGGGTCACGGAAAACCTGCATGACAAGCCTGGCATTCTTCCAGACATCCAGGGATTTTTGCATGTGATACTGGGCGAGATTGGAGACGGAGGAGTTTGAGGTGGTATCGGAAGCTACTTCGTATCCTTTGGAAAAACGTCCCGACCCCTTGGTCAAGTTGGGAAATCTGCAAGACAAATCAACAAGCTTTGGCTGCTGCGCATGACAAGTTTGGCCTCGTAGTGCGCTCCTGTTTAGGTAGTTTAGCAGCATCACAGATGTAGCGCATGATGCTGATTGGAGCATAACAAAATCCAAAACACGGCTAGAAATTGCTTCTTATGGGGCTCCGCATGAGAGACATTCACATTCTCACCATGCAGATTTGCATCACAACTCTGGGGTGGGGACGTCTTTACACGGGATACTTCGCTGTTGCTGTTTTCTGGGATCACGATGATGTTTTTATTCCCGACATAGTCTCTATGGGAGTGTCAGGATCGAAATCGTCACTGTTGAAATAATTTGTGATGCGCAAAACGGATACCAGTTGGCGCCTAGTTTTCAAGTGGCGCATGACAAATTTTCCTGGCCTCTAAAGTAAGTCTGTCATGCTGTTTCGGGCAAAAGGGCTCCCCTCTGTCATGCTAATCAGCAACCCAATTCTCGACCCTTGCCAGCACTACAATCTGCCACCCTTGCGTCCTCTGCAATAGTGCCAGTCTCTGAGTTGCATTTTATGCATGGCAAACCATTTCAACTTTGACGATTTCGATCCTGACACTTCCATAGTCTCCCGGCGCCGCGTCTTGCTTCAAGGTAACGGCGTTTAGGTCAATTGCGGGTTTTGATGTATCGTCGTAATTCATCTCCGTCGATCCGGGGCTGCTTGTTCCCGGGACCGCGGGGGCAGCAGCTCCGCGGGGGCTACTCGTCGGCGTGTTGAACTTGTTGCTGCCAGGTTTCGACGACGCTCCACCATCGGTAGCACTGCCACTACTCCCCGCCACCTTAGGCGTTTTTATCCAAGGAAAAAAGTATTAGTTTCTTTTGTAGTGAGTTCAGCATCACAAACTTGCCTTGCATGTCAGAGAAAATTTGCAATGCAGTGATCATAAGGCAAAACACAAACAAAACGAGGCTCGAAAGCATTTTGTGCATGGCAAAGGCTCTCTGTGATGCTTGTCCCGCAACACAATGTGTAACTGTAACACTTTTTTCCTTGGATAGTTTTCTGCTTTTCCTTAATCCGCGTGATCATCTCGGTGTAAGACCGTGCGGAATCGTACTCAACACTACTCTATGAAATGCAAATGTGTCTGGGTCTGGAAGGTTGGAACTTGTAATGCTGTCTTTGGATTCCAAAAAACTCTGTACTGCATGACCAGCAACAGAAGTCCAGTTTGTGTTTTTACGCGGAGAGTGCATTTCTCATGCGGGATAGGCATTAGGAACAAGCCCTCTAAAAATCTGTGATGCTAGCTCATGCATTACAGGCATCAGGGATGATACAGAATCTGCATGACAAACCTGGCAATTTTCCAGACCCAGACGCATTTGCATTTGATATGCTCGTTGGTGTCGTCGCCACGGAAATGACCGACGTTCCGGTGGAGATCGCAGTGGGCGATTTTGCGTTCTGACTTTTGTCCTTCTTTACACGGGCTGCAGATATGGCTATGAAAAGGAAAAAACAAACCGTGCTAGCGTCTCTTTCCATGGGGAACAATTTGATTACTTCCACGGAAGTGTAGTAGCTATGCATGGCCAGCACAGTGTGGCTTTTTCTCTTTCTTCATCTGCAAAACTAACAAGTTTACGAACATGCTGTTCTATTAAAAAAAAAGCGTCACTAGCACAGTCTTGTTCCTGGATAGTCGATCTGCTATTTCTCCTATAATTTTTACTATCTATACGAAGTGGGTTATCGTCCGAAAAAACTGCTCTTTCACTGTGACCAACATCAATCAATGTACAAGATTTGCATGACAACCCCGGGCTAGTACACATGACAAGAAGATTCTTCCATGTGTTGCTGTTCCACCTCCGTCAGGGAAGACGAATATTAGAACATGTGGAAAATAAACAAATGCCCCTCCTTGTTGCATTTACAGCAAAACAATCATGTGCGATGTGTTGCAGTTGTCTCTACTGCATCTTCACAAGTGCGCAGTGAAACAGTGTTTATTTCGTGCGATATATCTTGGTCGACCCATCCGGGAATTCCTGCTGAATGTATTTTTCCTTCTTCTTATCATGTGGAAAAACGTCCCCACCCTAGGCTTGTCCTGCTCATATGTGCATGCCCAGAGTTTTTTGATATGTGTATGCTCAGTTCGTCCCAACATTTTGAGGACTACGGAGTGGAGACGTGTTTGCGAATCGGATACTTTTTGTGCTTTACTTTCGCTGCATACGAGCTGTTTGTTGTACCGTCGTCAATACTGCGACACTCCTCTTCACACTCTTGAAACGAAACTTGTATCACTATGAAATCATGCGCCCCCGCCACAGAAGAACAAAGAAATGGCTGCGAGGCTCCCAATGAGGTTTCATCAGCAATGGAAACTGCTGCATGGGCCGCCGTGCAAGTCAGTACCTATATCAGCATGACCAGTTCCATTCAACCCAGAATATTAGCGAAAGCCTGTGCAGCTGCACAGCGCCGCAGGACAAGTATAGAAGCGTGGTCTGTATTTACTAAAGTCTTCTGGAGCGGAGCTGCACAATGCCTTCCTGCAATGCAAAGCGTATTTGTGTATACAAATCCAGCATCAGAAGTTCCGTTTCAGTATGGGGAGGGGGCATTTTTCATTTTGATAGGGAGGTCCTCCGCCGGTTCTTCACTTCTCTCGTCGACATTGTCCAAGGTCTTTATGTTTGCTCTTGCTACAAGATCTGGGGTAGAACTAGAGGGTGTGTTAGCATTGAGCGAGATAAAATTATGAGCGGGGGTTGAATTAATATCGAGCGCCGGAGACCGACTCTCCATCGTTGAGGTAGTGGAAGACGAGCTCATGCTGTTTCGAATCAAAATGGCTAGAAGCCGGGTCGTAAGAGAAAATAAAAGTGTGCTGATGGTTGTTGTACTTTATCACATTAAGAGCAGGGGTAGACTTATTACTTGTATCAACGTACCAAAAACAGCGCTGGTTTGAAGGCAAAGCTGCTCTTGTTTAGGTAAAGAAGATAAAACCTGTCAGCCCGATCCAATAGTAGCAGTATGGGGGAATACACGAAGAATCTTTGAGTGAGAAATCTTCATAACATGGGGCGGTGGTTTCACAAATTCGCATCGGAGAAGTATTTCAACTACAACACTGATAGAAAGAAGGAAACAAGGGCAGCACTACATAGGGCGGGTAGGATAAAACTTACGTGTTAGCTAAGCTACTTACAACAACGAGGTCGTTGCGAAGATTTACGACAAATTATTTCCTGAGGACTCCTGTCGACGAAAATTGAGTTTGTCATGCGATGATGAATCATACTTGACATGACGACTATGCAGCATTGACTTTGACAGCGACCTAGATTTTTTCAACAAATGTACTAGTCCACTCTCCAGAGAAGTCAGAACTCTGTACTATCACTTCATCTCCACAAACAACAGAATCAGATTGACCGACCTGAGAAAGCGTCATGCGAGTCACGACATTATTACATCGGTGGCATGAAATAGAAGAACACGATCAAAATCCTGTTCTGAAAAAAAACTCAATCTGCTCGTGGTTCTTGTAGAGCTGTCTTATGTACTTTCTCAAGCAGCACAAATCGCAGCTCCAAAATCGAGAGAAATATCTTTTTACCGCCTCTGCCTACAAGCGTGTCTATGGGGGTACATATTTGCAATTTTCCTGACATAATTTTCACTTCCGTCCTTTCTACTGGTAAAACTTTTGAAACGAGGTGTCATTTTTTACTTGCGTAGTTACTAGGTCTACTGTTGAAACATTTTCACGATCACGACTTATTTTGAAACATCATTATTTGTAATTATTTGGTTTCGTTCATTTCTACTTACTTACGAACTCACTCACACAACTTTTTCTGTCACTTTTATAAAGTTTTATTGTCTCATACACGAGCTCAGAATGGATCATACAAGCACAACACCAAATCACTCAATCTGCAGCTTCTCACACAGCTGCTCACTGTGTATGCATTGCAAATATGTCTGGGTCCGGAAAGTTGTGATGCTAATGTCCGAACGATACGTCGCAACTACCTGGATTTTTAGGGGGCCGCGCATGCCAGGTTATTTCTGAGCGGCTATGTCTAGCGTGAACCGCATGAAAAACGGCCTTTTTGCATCACAAACAAGTGGCACCACTGTAGCGCACCAAGCATGACAGATCTTTCTGTCTTGTCGCCCAAGCATGACAGACTTGCATTCTTCCAGACCTCCCAGACATGTTTGCAATGCATACTGTTCATGTTGGACCAATACTGAAACACATGGTACATGTAGCTTAAAATTCTCCGCTATCCTGAGTGCAAACGTCCCCACCCCATACTCAACATGGGCAATCTGCTACACAAATCCACAAGCTTTGGCGGTTGCGCATGACAAGTTTGGCCCCGTAGTGTAGTCCTGCTTAGCTCAATCAGCTGCATCACAGATCTAGCCCATTATGCTGATTGGAGCATTACAAATTCCAAAGCGCGACTAGATAATGCTTCTCATGGGGCTCCGCATGACAAACATTTTGAGCATGCAGATTCGCATGACAACTATGGGGTGGGGACGTTTTTACATAGGATATCCGCTTTTTCTTGTTCACGATCTCGCGGTAAGTCGGCAACTTTCGCTATCCTGAGTAAAAACGGGACCCCCATGGTCATCAAGTTGCTGGGACGAACTCCGCAACACAAATCCACAAGTTTTGGGCGACACGCAAAACAAGTTTCTTCCAGCATTGTAGTGCAGATTGGCAAGGACAGCCGCACTAGAAGAAAGCCGCCTCCTTATCCGGTCTGCAGCATTACACATGCCGAAACACGGTCTAGAATGCAACACGACTAGTTGTAAAAACGCCTCTCATTGGGATGCGCATTACCAGTTTTCCTGTAAATGCAAATCCGCATGACAACTCTACTGGGGTGTTTATGTACTGGAAAAGACCAAATTTAAACTACTGGGGTGGGGACGTTATATTTACTCATGATATTCGCTGCAACTCGTTCTGCATCGCTTTTTCGTCGTGGATCGACGCCCGCGTGCTCCGCCGCGTGGCTAGAGGGAGTCCGATATCCAATGTAAAAACGTCCCCAATCCAGATCTGCCAAGCAAATCTGCAAGCCTGAACACGTTTCTCATGCGCCGCTTCATGAGCAGCATTTTCTAAAATGCTACCTGGGAGTTCTTAGTCATGCTAGACTCAGGATGGGGCGATCCATTTGTCATGCCGTTTTGCAGGATGAACAGGATTACACTACGAGCCCAAGGATGCTGTAATGCGCAACACACAAAGCTTGCTCGTTTCTTTCTGTAGCAAAGTGCCCATCTCGACTCTGGGGTCGTCGTGGGGACCTTTTCACACATGATATCCGGTAGTTCCAAAAGGTGCACCACCGCCCCCATGATCTCCGGTCAACACCGACCGCCTCCCTGCAGCGGGGCCGTGCGCCCCTTCGTTGGGGGTTGCGTTGGGCGAAGTGGTACTACTAGATCCGGGGAAGAAAACCGCGACCGACGACCGCCGCTTCTGCAGCGACCGGCGGCTAGACCGTTTGTCTGCGGGAGCAGGCGGTGGAGACCTATTACCGAGACCGCTCTTGTGCTCCGTCTGTTTTCCCCGACCACCCGCTTTGCTGTTCGCCGGCACGTCTTGGCAACCGTGGCTTTTATTTCCCGCCGGCATGGCAACTACTTTGCCAGGTTTCATTTTACTTACAGCGGCGGATGATGAATAAGAGGAATTGTCATTGCCCCGGCGCTTATTAACTGCAAATATGTCTGGGTCTGGAAACTTGTAATGCTGATTTGTGAGTAGTGAACTCTCTGTCATGCACAGCCAAGCATGAGAAATCTTTGCGCGGCTTAGTGTTCTTGCGCTTTTCGCATGACAAACTGCGTTTTGCATGACAAGCAAGAAGGTCTCGTCTTGGACACGCATCACAAACTCTTCAGTCGTGCCAGACCAGCATGACAAACCTTGCATCCTTCCAGATATCCAGACATATTTGCATTGGATAGCGCTTGTGCTGGTTTCCTTTTTCTTCCAGTAAAGTGACCGCCGCTTGCATCGCTTTCGGACTGGTTTTATCAAGTGCAAAAATGTCTGGGTCTGGAAGAGTGCAAGATTTGTCATGCACATTTTGCATGACCCATGATGTCTGTGATGCCTGCCCTAGCATCACAAATTTGTGAGGGCTTTCTGATGCGTATCCTGCATGACAAATGCCCTCTCCGTGTAGCACAAAATCGAATCCTCTTGCTAGTCATGCAACACAGATTTTTTTAGAATCCGAAGACAGCATCAGAAGTTGCATCCTTCCAGACCCAGACATTTTTGCATTTGATAGGTTTCGCCCCCTCGCCGGACCTGCACCCGGGCACTGGTTCGGGGACTGTTGGTTTTCGAAGCGGGAGTCGCGGCAGTTTTCGCTATGGAACGCAAATATGTCTGGATCTGGAAGGTTGCAGCTTGTGATGCTGTCTTTGGAAGGTAAAAATAATCTGTATTGCATGACCTTATTTACCCCTCAACCACTATATCCCCTTTACGACCACTACCTCAGGTAGGATCTCGGGGGAAAAGGGTCAAGCTCTAACGGGGGTCGGACCCGAGTGGAACCGTTAGAGTGGCTGCATGTCCTGGTCGACTCCGGAGATTCCAAGAGCACGGTCACGTTTCCAGCGGTAAACCAGGCAAAACACGAGGAACAGACAAAGACGAGAGACAGGGGCAGAGCCTATGGATTGCTGGGGTCTCCTGCAGCAGAACTAAAAAAACGTCGCTATGCGACTGGACTGGGATCTCCTGCAGTCCACCAAATGCCCTTTTTGAAAGCCGGGAAAGGGACCCCACCTAAAACTAGAGCCAAGAAGCAAACAGAAAGCGACCCACGACGTGCGAGAAGCCGACGCTCCACTCCGAACCGCCGCTCTGCGAGCCCTCACCGAAGCGCTCCAAAAAGACTCTCCAGCCGAAACGACACCCCAGAAGCGACCAGGAGAGAACGACCGGCGACAACGACCACCTACACCCACCGCACGAAACAACGACGCTTTGATCTCGTTGTTTGCATTTTCCGTCGTACTACTCACCTTCGTACCCGCGTCGGCGACCTTTTGTGTGTATGATGTTTATTTTGTGCCGCTATCTCTTCTATATTCAAAGCACCAAAAAAAACTTCTTTCCTACTGATTCGCTTTTGAACTGCACTTGGCTTCTCATGTCATCTACTGTTCATCATTTTTTTTTCTTCTATTTTTTTTCGTCTAGGCCTGGCTTGTTTTACTGAGGCTCTTGTTGCTAGACACACAGCATAATATGACGATCAGCAGTCCGCTAGAAGATCATCTTCTTCGTCCTCCACCGGCCCGCTACTCTCTTCTTCCGCATCGTGCATAATTGCATCTCCATCTGCATCATAACTTTCCTGTTTTGCGCCTCCCTCAGTAATCCTGCATGACCAGCAAGAGGAGTTCAGTTCGTGCTACGCGGAGTGGGCGTTTCGCATGCGGAATACGCATCAGAAGGCCCGTCAAAAATCTGTGATGCTAGGTCATATTACAGGCATCATGGGTTAAGCAAAATATGCATGACAAACTTGCATTCTTCCAGACCCAGACATTTTTGCATTTGATATTCGCAGTGGTTTCCCCAAATTCCTTTTCCCAATCCCTTTCCTTCATGCTCTTCGTCTTCATAAAATCCAGAAACGCCTCCTGCTCCGTTTGCTTCTTCATATCGCAAGAAAAAACTGCTTCACTGTAATGCAGAAACTGTATCTGAGAAGTGTTTGTCTTGCTACACAGGCCGCAAGACACTAGATTTTTAGATGTGTTTTCCCTTAGGAATCTCGCATGGCAAATTTTCTCTGTGATGTAGAACAAGCTTGTGATGCAAAATAACTTGCAAAATCCTTACAGTAAACACTTTTTTCGTACGATACTTCAGTTCCGTATCGGAGTAAGCCGCTGCTTTTCGCTTGATCCGCCCCTTGCGCTTGTCCGTGATGTCTTTTTTGATCTATCAAATGCAAAAATGTCTGGGTCTGGAAACTTGTGACGCTAGAATGTGGATGATGGAAAGAGTTCCGAATGCAACCCGGCGTGACAACTTTCCAGAACGCTCTCTCATAGGCAATCCGCATGAGAAATTGCGTTTTTGCATGTACTTAGAGGTCGCGACTTTTGTTGGTAATGCAATACAGATTTTCTAGGTATGGAAAGCTAGCATTACAAGTTCCAACCTTCCAGACCCAGACATTTTTGCAATCCATATGATCATGGTCTGGACCATTTTCGTCGTGCGGTCCTTGATCACAATCGACTTCGCCGATCTGCCCGCACCAAACATCGTGTCAAACTCATCGTCAACCTCTTTCGCGATGCACTTCATGACGAAGCTCCGCTCCATGGAAAACTCGTCGGTCTCTGTATCCTGTGTAAAAACGTCCCCACGACCCCCAGAGTCGCGATGGGGATTTCGCAACACAAACCTAGAAGCTTTTGCCGTTTCGCATGACAAATTTGGACTCGTAGTGTAGTGCTATTTGAGGCAGTGAAGACACATATGCAAATCGACTACCTCATTGTGGTTCCAGATCCAGCATCACAAACCTCCAGATAGCATTAGAAAAAAGCTCTCATGTCGGTGCTGCGCATGAGAAACATTTTAGGCATGCCACTTTGCATGACAAGTCTGCGGTCGTGGGGACGTTTTTGTAAATGATACTCTGGAAATAAGCGGTTGAAATCCTCCTGCATCCGCTTGGTCCTCCTAGACGTTCTGGGTGGGGAAGTAGAAATGGTTTTGGGAGACGATGATAATTTTACTGCATTCTGTGGTCCCCCTTTCTTCGCGTTGCTGCTCACTGCAAACCGCAGCTTCGACCAACTAGTAGCGCCGGCAGTTTTGTTGGTTGTCGCCGCGCTCGATGTTCCATTGGTTTTATTCATCTGCTGCTCGTTGGATACAATGTTGATCGGGCCAGGATTACTATCTCCCCTGTTGAGCTATCCTGAGCAAAAACGTCTCCACCTCGTAGTCAACTTGGTAAATCTGCAACACAAATCGCCAAGCTTTGGGAGTTGTGCATGACAAGTTTCCGTCTGTAGTATAGTGTTGCTTAGCAAGGCAAGCCGCATGAGAGAGCCAATTTCTGATTCTGTTTACAGCATTACAAATGCCAAATCAGAATTGAAAATGCCTCTCATCATGGGGATGCGCATTACAAACGTTCCTGTCATTGCGTATTTGCATTACAGCTCTGGGGTGGGGACGTTTTTGCTGAGGATATGAGCGTCGTATCGTTAATGCCATGATTCAAAATATCTTCTCCGTTCCTATTCCGCTCACCTCCCTCCAGTTTCTGCTTCAGCAGCAACCTTTCCGTCCTGCGTATCCTGTGCAAAAGTATCGCACTCGTATAAATGCATTACAGATTTCCTCAGCATGAGAAATAAAATTTGTAATGCGGATTCAGCTTGAGAACAAGATTTGCAATGCGTGTTTGCGATTACTACGAGTACAATACTTTTGCACAGGATACTGCGCCGCACAAACCAATTCCGCTTGCGTCGCCACGAAGCCCGCTTTTGCTGCTCTATGACCTGCTCAAACGTTACAATCTCAAACGTTACAATAGAGTCTGGATTTTGTCTTGCATGAAGAGCATGAGAAACGTATGTAGAGTTGCGCCTTTCGCAATACAAATTTCGCTGGATATCAATGTGGTGTTGGGTGCCGAAACTTGTCATGCGCAAACCTATGGGACTACGGTAAGTCATGCACTTCCTGCATCACAGATTTCCATATTCTATTGTAACGTTTGAGATTGTAACACCTGAGCAAGTTATATGCTCCTCTTCCCGTTTCTGCGCTTCCTCGTGTTCCTATGAGAGTGCACAACCCCCCCATCCCCCTCATTTTTTGAAGGGCATAAACAGCAACACAAGTCCTGGCATAAATGCAGACTTTGCATGAAAAATTCGCCGCGACCGATTCTAGTGCTGTTTCGGCTTCCGGAATCTGTCATGCAAGCAGCGCCAAAAGGAAAAGGATGGACTTGCTAATTGGCATGACAAATGAGAAGGAGTTGTGCATTGTCATAGTTCGCGCTCCAGCTTTTTCAGCGAGCTGGTCGAGAAGAAAAACGCGGAGGACCTCCTACGGCTATCAAATGCAAAAGTGTCTGGGTCTGGAAGGTCGGAACTTGTGATGCTAACTTTGGTCTCTAAAAAAATCTGCATTGCATGAGCAGCAAGAGGAGTCTAGTTTGTGCTACGCGGGGAGGGCGTTTGTCATGCGTAGTAGGCATCAGGAAACCCTCCAAAAATCTGTGATGCTAGGTCGTGCATTACAGACATTCTGGGTCATGCAAAGCGTGCATGACAGGTCGCAGAATCTTCCAGACCCAGACATTTTTGCATGTGATAACGGCGCTGCGTGCTGTAGCGCCGGTTTTGGAAGGGAGAGTTACGAAAGGAACTCGAGCCTGTGAAGTGGGAAGCTTTTTGATAAGAATATTATTGTTTCTGTTTGGATTTGATATCATCTACTTGCGCATGTTGACACTGACAGATTACGTTGCAACGATAGTTGTGCAGAGCACGCTGCACAAGCGGAGAAAGAAGAAAAAAGGAATTGAATAGCAATCACACGACACAAAACAACGACCGTCGTCGTGTAAAAATACCTTTTGGCGCGATCGGCGTCATGAAATGTTTCAACCTAACTTTCGTCTTCTTCACGACCCCGCCGCCACTTTTTCCCAAGCTACTGCCCATCTGCTTCACACTCTTTCGCTTCGCTGTGCTAGGGGCAAAGGGAGTTGAGGATTTTCGTCTTTGCGTGGACGAAGACGTGCTATGGATTGCAAAAATGTCTGGGTCTGGAAGATTCTAAACTTGTAATGCTGGCGCTGGATTCTAAAAAAATTTGTGTTGCATGACCAGCAAGAGGACTCCAGTTTGTGCTACGCGGAGAGGGCATTTCTCATGCGGTAGAGGCATGACAAAGTCCTCTAAAGATATGTGATGCTAGGGTATGCATCACAGACATCATGGGTCATTCAAAATATGCATGACAAACCTGGCAATCTTCCAGACCCAGATATTTTTGCAGTTGATACGTGACTTTCTTCACCGAAAGGCTGCTTGTCCGCCGCCGGTCGAATGCTACTTTCGTGCTTTTGCCCCCACTGCTGCCATCGGAATCATCATCATTATCGCTGTTGCAGCGACCTCCATTGTCACCGCTGCTGTGCTCCGATTGGTTTTCCGAGTCGTCTGAATCAGAATCATTGTCATCCGAAGCCTCCTGGTCGGATGAATCTTCAAACTGCTCCATGTCCAGATGCCCTAGGAGCCAAATTTCCGCCACGCGTGAAAATTTTTTCGCCAACTGAAATTTCTGAAACTCCCTTTTTGTCTCTTCCTTTTCCGTTTCGAGGAGGCGCTCGAGGAAGGAAGATTTCGTGCCGCAAAGGTGCATATGAACTGCAAATATCGATCTGGGTCTGGAAGATGGCAACTACCCTGTGATGCTACCTTTGGACTCTGAAAACAATCTGCATTGCATGACCAGCAAGAGGAGGCCAGTTTGTGCTACGGGGCAAGGGAATTTGTCATGCGGAATAGGCATTAGGAAGCCTTGTAAAAATCTGTGATGCTACGTCATGCATTGCAGGCGTCATGGGTCATGGAAAATCTGCATGACAAGTCTTGCAACCTTCCAGACCCACACATATTTGCAACTCATAGTGCACGCAGTCTTGAATGGGTAAAAATGCGCTGGTGGTTGTAGTGCCCGCACTACAGGGCTGCAGCTGGGATGAGGACGAGTAGTTGCAAGAAGTTGATGAACTGCTTTGGGTTGAAGTTATTGGCACTAGAGCAGCTGCAGTCCCGCAGCTGGTGCTGAAACCATTTTTCCGCCCGATACAAAAACCGCCGAGAACCGAGGACTGCGGGTCGGAGAAGTGTGGTTTTCTAGTTTGCAGCTTCATGGCAGTCCCAGTGGTCCCTGGTGGCTTCGCCGGATGGTGGACGGTTTGTTTGTTCGCGTGGGGGAGGACAAACTGGTGGCCAGCACTCGCTGGTTGCTGGTGGCTGTTGCAGCCCAGAACACTTGCTGCACCTGTACTCATCCCATGTAGAATATCGACCGAAAAAAGTGCTTCACTGTAAGGATTTTGCAAGTTTTGCATTACAAGTTCGCTACACATGACAAAGAAGACTTGCCATGCGTGCTTCCGAAGGGAAAAGAACACGGCGAAAAACCAAATGCCTTGCATGTGTAGCAAGACAAATGGAAATGCGTCTGTGTTGCATTCTATGCATTACAACTTTACAGTGAAACAGTTTTTTCTTGCGATACAGGATCGGAATGTGTTGCCTTTGAAACTGTTCGACCACGACCGGAGAAGCGCCGCCGGTTGTACCGGTTTTCTTCAGCAGTCCAGCATGTTGGGATGGGCGCACAGCAGAGTGGTGATTATTTCCAGGCGAGAGTACAACTCCGCTTCTGGTCCGGGGTGTCTGCGGGGGTGGTCTGCCCGTTCGGGAGGCCGTAGTTCGGAAGGGCGTTCGACCGTCTCCGTGATCGTGGTTCCAGCTACTTGTAGTTCCGCTTGTCACATCAGTGCTCGCCGCTCCACCCGTCGGAAAAAAATTTTTCGTCTCGGCGTTACTAAAATTGGTCGTGTAATAACTCAATTTCCAGGGTTTCCGGACCTGTTTCTCCAAAATTTCCTTCACTGCATAAGGATCGTGCTTTCCCACACCCGCCGCGGCCTTTACCTGCCCGGGCTGCATGTTGTCACAGCTGCGCCGGAACTCCAAAAAATTCACATTTTCCTTGTTGCAACTACCACTACTCGCGAGTGCAGAGAAACTGCGCAGATCCGCCACGGCTCTTTGTTTCTCTTCCTTCCCCGCGTGACAATCTTCCACCAGCTCTTTTTTAAACCCTCGCCATCTTTCGTTCCGCAAAAACTGGGCCCACAACTCTTTGTATGAAATGCAAATATGTCTGGTTCGGGAAGATTCTTACATTTGTCACGCATGCAGAAATTTCGATTGCTGCTACGGTGGAATGTAGATTTCGCACAAAACAGCTGCTGCGATCAATTGCTTTTTTCGTTGGAATGTGTAGACATTTCATCGCGCGCCGCTTTCAAATGTGGTTTTCCCCTTCAAAAAAAACCTATCGGCGTCATATTTGTTCATAGTGATTGCTGAAAAAGCGCAACACTGCTCGAAATTTGGATTGTTTTTCATCAGTTCAACACGCACAAAAACCCATGAAAAAGTCGCCAGGATTACATCCGAACTGGCCTTGTGACCATGCTGAAAAAGTCGCCTGGCTTTCTTGAAGAACACCAGCAGCAACGGCTCCCCGTGTCTCTCGTAGGGCGTGCAGCTCGCTCTTGTCTCCTGTAGGACGTAGGGACCCCGCTTGCGCGCGCCCTTGTGCGTCCTAATTGTGCGCCACTGTGCGCCCCGCTTCCTTGCGTCAGGGCCAGTTTGGTCGCGCATTGTCCCGGTGCAATTCTGCGGCCCTGGGATACAGTGCTCCCCCGTTCCTCTTCGACAATGCGTGCCCTCGTCCGTGTATTGCAAGGGCCCCGCGCCGGGCGCGATCGTGCTTGCTGTTATTGCGGGGGCCGGCGCTGTTGCGGGCCCGCCGTCGCGCTGGACACCGAAAGCGCACAGGCCACCGAGCACGGAGAACCGGCTCGCGGCGAAAGCGCAGACCCCCGCGCCCTTTCCCCCCCCCCTCCCCCGTAATCTCGGTTTGCCCTTCGCCCCTTCGCCCGAAGCAAACTAGTTCCAACGATTGGAGCGGCCCCACTTCTCGCGTATCCAAACTTCCTAGCTCGTCGGCGATTTCCGCACCTCGCTTGCCGTGGTAGCAGAGGGCTTTCCTCCGTAGCTAGGCTCTTTTCCGTCTGCGCACCCATGCAACTAAGAGCGAGCGCGCCCTTTCGTTGGTTTCGCGTTCTCTTTTTCGCGCCCGCATTTAATAGGGACCAAGGTCCGCCTGCGCCGCTGCTGCACGTTTCGCGGAGCTATTTGCGCCAGCAATGCGCTTCTCATTCCCTTAGACCATTGCATTGCTGGCTTTGCTTCGATTTTGGTTTTTGCGCTGCATATTTCTTAGGGTTGCTTTACATTTTATTTTGCGCAAAGCCCCTTTGTTTATGTTCTTTCGCCCATTGATTTCCCAAAGTTGCCTTTTGTTGGTTTCATATCAAAACGACAGCGGGGAAATCCTTTCGCTGATGTCGCGCCTTGCTCTCTTTTTTTCGTGCGCGAAAGAAAATCACCACACCACAGCGAGGGAACTATGGGCGACTGTTGGTCAGCAGTTCATTTCTCCCGTAGACCATTGCATTGCTGTTTTTCCTTCGATTGTTCTTTTTCCGGCAATCGAATGCTTTGCGCAATCCACCGGCTTGGAGAGATGTGGGTCGTTTTCTCGGGTTCGGATGTTCTGCTTTGCTTTCACAGGGAAAAAGGCACGCGATTGCTTCGCTTTTGCTTTTGCGATGCTTGCGTGCAAAAATCCTGTCGCAGTATATTTTCAACATTTCGTAGTGATGCTCAACATCTCATCCTAAAACAACATTCCACCGTACTGCATGCATGTCTGACATGACTCGAGAATCTGTGATGCATGGGCAGGAAAAGACTCTCCTATCTGTCATGCAAAAACGCAGTTTCTCATGCGGAATACGCAACACATAGCAACTCAAAAACTTGTCATGCTGGGCTGCGTATTGCAGTCCGGCTATCTTCATCCACTTTTTGCATCACAAGTTTCCACACCCAGACATTTTTGCATTTGGTACTTTGTCCGAGGGAACAAACAGCGTGATTGAGTTCGATAACGCGATGAGCAGCCGCTTTGGCAATCGCCGCACCATGTCCTGGCGACTCATCACGTACAGGGAGCAGAAACCGTCGGAAACAAGGGACACCGGGAGGAGCCGGCTGTGCAGGATCTCCCGATGCCCGAAGAACTGGTTCGAAGAGAGGATCCCCACTTGCAGGAGCAGTTTTGCTATGCATTGCAAAAGTATCGCATTCGTACAAATGCATCACAAATTTCCTCAGCGTGAGAAATGAAATTTGTAATGCGGATTTACCTCAAGAAAAGAATTTGTAATGCATGATTGCAATACGAGTGCGATACTTTTGCACAGGATATTTGCGTGCTCGATTTTCGTGTTTTGGTCGATCGTCGTACTGTTGAAATGGATATCAAATGCAAAAATGTCTGGGTCTGGAAGGTCGGAACTTGTCATGCTAAATCTGAATCACGCAAAAATCTGTGTTGCATGATTACCAAATGCTGTCCACTTTTGTTCAAGTTGAGAGGCAGTTTCTCATGCAGGATACGCATGACAGTGATCTCACGGAATCTCTTATGCTAGGTCCTCCATTACAGATCATATGGGGCATGGAAAACCTGCATGACAAGTCGCGCAAAGTTCCAGACCCAGACATTTTTGCATTTGATAATGGAACCGGGCGGTTTTCGAAGATGAACTCGCTGTCGTTGTTTTTTTCTCCGATGATGTAGTTGCTGATTTCCCGTTGCTCTCTTCGTCTTCGATAATTTTGCCGATTCCCTTGGTCTGCAGCCATTTTTTCACGTCGATATTTTCCATTTGCACTTTTTCCTCCTGGATCAAGTGTAAAAAACGTGTCTGGGTCCTCGGGGGAGGTGGAACCTGTGTTGCGTGTCTGGCACTCCTGTAAAATCTGTATTGCGTGACCAACTACAAAAGCGCGAGCTCTTTTGTCATGCACGAATGCAGCAGTTTCTTTCGAATGCGCGCCACGCATGCGGAAGCATAGCGTCCTAAAAGCATGCCATGCTTGGCTGCACTGAGGAGTATGCTCAATCATCGCGACTCAGCATCACAAGCTTATTGCAGACCCAGACCTATTCGCACTGGATATCCTGTAAAGTCGGCTGCAGCTTGTTCGTCGTCTCGCTCTATCCTGAGTAAAAACGTCCCCACCCCAGAGTTGTCATGCAGATTTGCAAAGACAGGAAGACTTCTAATGCGCATCCCCATGAGAGCCATTTCCAATCGTGTTTTGGAATTTGTGATGCTGTGAACAGGATGAGCAGATGAATCTGTGATGCGGCTGCACTTGCTAACCTGCACTACACTGCGGAGCGCAACTTATCATGCGTGACTCACAAAACTCTTCGGTTTGTGTTGCAAAATCCCCATCCTGACTCTGGTGTGGGGATGTTTTTACTCAGGATACGCCCTCGATAAAGTTGACCCCTCTCGTCAGGGTTTTCCGCGACACGCGGGTTCTGGAAGCGTTTTGCGGGACGCCGAGTGATCCATTCCCGTGAGATGGGGAACCGCCGGAAGCGGTGCTGATTGGACTGTCGTTTGATGTTACCCCACCACCGGTGGTAATCAGCGCCGCGTTAGAAGAAGAACTCGGGCTCGTTTGCGCGGATCCTAGTTGCACCCGGTTTGTGTTTATCAAAGTGAAAAAAGCCCTCTCCCCATAATAAAAACGGAAATTTCTGTTGCTGGATTTGCGTACACAAATCGGCCCTGTATCGCAGCGAGCGCTTGTAGGGATTTCCTAAGCCTGATTAGGTATGAAAAAGGCTAGCGCTCAGGCATGCCGGACAGCTTGGCAGCAGGCAAAAGCGCATGACAGGTTGGCTGCGGAATGCGCCACACGCCTCCCATTTGCCTCATATGCAAGACAAAGCTGATCTGTGGCCACAAATCAGCATCACAAATTTCCACTGTGAGTACTTATGGGGAGGGGGGATTTTTTCTCACAGATAGTGTTATCGACCACCTCCCAACTGCTGTACTCAAACCGCTTGCCGTCTTATGCCAGAAAAAAACTGTGTAAGTGTAAATCTGTGATGCAGAACATGCAACAGAGTTGCGCCTGTCATGCCAGGCAGCCATGCAGTCCTCTTTTCGTGTGTGTTTTCCCTTACTAACCACACATGACAGGTTTTCTCTGTCATGTAGAGCAAATTTGTGATGCTGTCAGCCAAAGAAAGTTACACTAACACAGTTTTTTTCTTGGATACGTCTACCCTTTTCCTCGTGCGGCGCAGACAGATCTCCCGGAGAATCAATAGACGGCCCGACCGAACGAAAAAAACGGAACTCGGCCGCGTGTCCTGCAGCTGCACAAGTTTCAGTCCCCGAACGCATTCCTCGTTTAAACAGTTCGCCAAAGCTGCGATCTCCGTGTTTCCGGTGTTCTGGGGGAAGTAGTGGCAGGCGTTGAGAAAGTGGGACCGTTCCTCCACCATCTTTTTGTGGGATTGCCCAATCCATTCGTCATAGTCGTGCTTCCGTAAGCAAAGTAGCTCCGTTTTTTCCGCGGTGAGAATCGAAGCGGCCCTGGGAGCGTTGCTTTGCAGTGCAAGCTCGCCGAAGCATTTTCCCTGGTCAAGAAAAACCTCCGTTCGCCACGATGTTTTCTCCGCGTTCTCCGGCACCAGCACGCCCACGGAACCAGTGAACACGATGTAAAAGGTGTCACCAAAGTCCCCGAGCTCGAAAACGTACTCTCGTGGCTGGTACTCGCGCAGCTCCAAGTTCTTGCACAGCCCCCGCTTTTGATGTTCCTTCAGAGCTTGAAAAAATTCCAAGACCTGCACGTACTGCACGATCGCGTCGATTTGTTGCTCTGTCCGCTTTGTCAACTGCAAATCTGCCTCGGTCTGGAAAGTTGTGATGCAGGTCACTGAATAATAACCACACGACTGTAATGCGCCGCCGAGCATGACAAGCTTTTTCATGCTTCTGTGTTGCGTATTCCGCATGAGAAACTGCGTGTTTGCATGACAGGCAAGAGGAGCTTTTGGTTGCCACGCAATACAGATCCAAGAGTCATGCCAGACTAGCATGACAAATCTCACAATAACCAAAACATATTTGCAGTCCATACGCTTCTCCGGCTGCTGCTTGCAGGCCTCGCGGACATACTGGGTTTCCGACTGGATCCGGCTCGCCGCAATGGGTACAACTACGGGAGTGGTGCCCGCGGCTGCTGGAGACAGACCTTTGCTCGCGTCGGAGGATGTCGCATTTCCGCTTCTTTCTCCCTCAATAGGAGTTGGAGCAGTGCCCTGATTGTTATCTCCTGGTTGATCTACTTCTGCGGGCGGTAATTTGTCCGTGATACTGGAACGCCGGTGCCGCATGAAGCTCGACCGGCGGTTCATCGCAGTACCTTGGCTCTGCGTGGAAGGCGTGCCGAGCGAAGAGCTGGCCTCCACCATCTGCAGACCTTGTTGCACCGCGGACTTGCGCAGACTGTCTTCCACTTCTTTCTCCAACGCATTTAAGTCGTCGCTTTTGCCCTGTGACGGCGAGGCCGGCGCAGTAGCTCTACCGAGAGATGATGAGGAGATAGCGGGGGCCGTGGTTCTGCTCGGACCGGGTTGAAGGACCACCCCGGAGGTCCTTATGGTCCCGGCGGTCTGATGACCTAGGTGCCCCTCTGCCGGCTGGATTTCCTCCTCCAGTTCGGCGATGGAGGACACGGGTAGGACTACCCCGGAAGAACCGGGCAGGCCACTGGTTCCCGCGATGAAGCTTGCTTTGTTCGGGTTCGGCCGGGTCGATTTCAGGTCGAACACCGATTTGCGGTGCTTGTTGCGCGGCGCGGGAACGGCCGGGGTCTGGTGGAAGGAAGCCGTCGTCGGAGGCGCATCAAGTGCCGGGCGAAGTTCTTGTGCCGGCGTCGTCGTCGCTGCGCGGTCGCTTGTCCGGTCTGTTGTTGCAGCTCCCGCGGTTGCTGATGCCGCCTCTTCGCTGCTGGACTTGCTGGAAGCGGGGTGGGACGAGGAAGACAGCTGCACCAAGTTCGCTGCAACGGCGCGGAGGTCGACGGCATTGGAGCTGCGGCGGCCGCGCGGCGGTGGCGGATTTTGTTCGTCCGGGGCGCGCGGCTCTGCCCCGCGGGGGCTACTGTGCGCTTCCGCGGTCGCGTGGGTCGTCGCTGCTAGCGTTCCGGCCGGGCCGGGGTCGGGAGGGTCGGTTGGAGGCATGTTTGGCTTCGCGCCTTTTGCGGAGGAAGGAGAGGGCTGTCGTTCTGTCTCTACTGGGAAGTAGTGCGGGGGATAACAACGCGACCGCAATTAATCTCCGATGGCTACACTCCTGCGTGGGAAAAAAGACAGTGCGCGACCAACCGCATCCTTCGGTGCTTACAGCAAAAAAAACGAAAGGCGGGCCGCGCGCGGGCACAGCGCGCAATGAGCAAGACAGCACCCCCCCCCCCCC